CCTTTCGCACCGTACGTAGCCAAACGTGCTAACCGGAGGTGCGCGCACGGCCCACTCAGCACAATCTTTTTGCCTCATCACATGTGCAAGATTAAGCTGCCACCTTCTCCTCGTGCTTTCCCACCTACCACAACATTTACCATTGAAAATGTAAATGCAAAACAGAATTTGGCGGCTGGAGATTTTATATCAGTGCTTTGCAATACAATTTAATGAGCAGAGGCACCAGGGAAGGAGATTTGATCAGATACCACCAAAATTACCAAGCTATGCAGAGAACGCTGTAGGTTTGACAAGGTCATGTAGTCTGTGGAGTACAACATACACATCTAACAAAAATATTTCTTTTAATAATTTCAGTTATTTACTCAGAAGGGCCTCACCTAGTCTCAAGACACTTTTTCAAGAGGTTCCTTGCTAAGTCTGTGCATTAGAGGATGATGCTGTTTTGTGCAATTCTAACTGAGTAGTTAATTCAGGTAATTTTTCAGCAATGGAATGTTTGGCCAATACCAGTTACATTGTGTGTTTACTTTATGGGAGGAAACCGTAGAATGCAGAGAAAACAAAGACTGATGCACACAGACAAACTCGCACAAACATTCCCTGTATAACCTTAACAGACGGTCACGGCAAGTGCTGTTAGTGCACACTTATGAAGGCCGGAACGGCACATGAGGTGGGTAGGTGGCCAACACCACGCTCGGCCGTCTTTGTCTCCCCAGTGGTGATGTTCACCCACCACACCAGGTACTCATTTTTAAGCCTGAGTCGACCAAGGGGAGGTTAAGGAACCGGTTAAATTATTCTACAGTTATTGGATGTTAGCGGGAATCGAACTCTTTTTATCGGGTTGTTGCCCAGTGCATTAACCACTGAGCTACCGTTCCCCGCACAACAACAGCCGCCATTCGCCAGTAAGTGGTGGTGACGACACCACTGCTTGTGCCAGGCTAGGTGTGCTTTGAGGCCACGTGAAGTGCCGAAGGCTTGCAGACAAGTCACGGGAAAAAGACCCAGGTACACATGGGTTGACTGACTGAGATGACCGGCAGATACACCACCTGTGTCCCTTACTGTGCCAAGTTGCTTTTTATCTGCCCGGCGCTCTGTTGTGAGCGTCACTCCTCCGCCCTCCGCTGTTGTTGGAGGGTAACTGCCTCCAACTGCCCAGTAGCGTCCTTCACAGAGGCCGATTTTGACACTGCTGGTGCCAGTCCTCGACAAGACCAATCAACTCCACATCCTCCTGTACCGCATCAGCCCATCATCTCTTCTCTAGCCTGTGCTGCATCCATTTAGCTACACAGCATTGCGCAGCTGATGAAAAGATGCCACTCGACTGATTGGGAGTGAGACCTCTGCTGTCAAACCGGAGCTGGTCATAAGCATGACGTCCAGGTACATAAACTTCTCCACTCTCTCTGATAGTAAGGCACTATATTTTAGTGAATGCTCCAGGTTCAACAGCAGTCTCCAACTCCTTCTCAGGATGAACAGCAATTACAAGATCATAAGCATATGTAGCATGGTTGACCAATAGGGAGCCATCCCTTGACCCGCACCCAAGCATCGATCAGCCTCCCATTGAATTTTTACTAGATTAAATTCCTTTAGAAAAGCCATGGAAAGCTTCTCGAACAAGGTGGTCAAAAGAGATGTTAAATAATGTAGGAGCCATTGGATATGCCTGTCGCACCTCCAAGGTGAACAAGGAATGGCTCGGACTCCCAGTTACGCAGATTCACCTGGGCCCACCCACCACCATGAAGGTCAGGGACATCGAAAGTACAAAGAATAATCCAGAGCCCTGGCCTATGGATGATATCATCGGCCTTGACCAGGTCATAAAGCAGAGATGTAGGTCCTGTTGAAAGTATCTCCACCTCTGCTACAGCACATGGACATAGAATATGGCATCTGTGCAGGACCGCCCTGGCCTGAAACCACATTAGGGCTCCGCATGCCTTCCTTCAGAGTGCCTTGCAACGTGATGTTGAATTGTCCTTTCCAGGACCTTTCCCAGCACACTCAGGAGGGAGATGCCCCGGTAGTTGCTACAATCAGTACAGTCCACCCCCTTTTAAATGGCGACCACAATAGCATCCTTACAATCCTGCGGAGCCCGTCCTGTGGTCCAGACAGTTGTGATGTGATGTAGGACAGTCTGCATACAGACGCCACCCTCTCTCAGCATTTCGCTTTGGAGATGATCTCTTCCGAGTGTTTTTCCCCATCTCAAGACTATGAATCGCTCCTCATACTTCCTCAACAGACAGCACATCAGCCAGCCACTCACAGAGGGTGGCTACTTTCTCCAATATTTAAGGCACTGCAGCCCCAGGAAGTCCATCCCCACCTTGCCTCATGGAGTTATCTGGGCTGAGGTATTTCTCCTCCCCTTTCCACTCGTACACACTCATTCACCCACTCACTCTGCAGAGCAGGCGAACATACAACCTCCGCGCAGAAAGGCGCCCGAGTCAGGGAATCGAGCCCAGGTCCTTCTCGCTGCTGAGGCACAAGCGTTACCACCGCGTCGCCTCGCCGCCCGAAGCAAGAGTGTGTGAATGGCGGCATCTGAGAGAGCGGTGTGCGCGTGCGGGGAGGGTTACATGGCTGGCAGTGGGCCCGGAGTGGCCGTTGTCGTCTATCGCAGGGAGAAGGGCTGCGCGTGCGATGGAGCCGCGCGCGGAGACTCCGTGGAGGCCATGACGTCGCGGAACCACGTGGCCACGTCCACCTCCACTCGCTCGTACCGCCGCAGGAAAGCGTGCTCCTGCGCGTGTGCACACGCCAAGAAGACATCGCGTGGATCTCGTGGACGAGACGTTAACTGCCTCGCCTGGTAAACAGGTCGTGGGTTCGATCCCAAGTTTGCACGTTCTCCCTGTGGTCGCGTGGATTTTTCTCCGGGTCCTCCGGTTTTTCCCTCCACATCTCGAATCAACATCACGCGTTTAGAGTTTTGACTGGTATAAATTTCCCTGTGGTAAGCCACTTCATTGAGCTTTCATTTGTGGCCAGGTCACTTCTGAAAAAGAGCTACATAGCTCAGTGGGTCTTACCTGGTAAAATGAAAAGTAAAATCAATCCAATTTTGCCTTTAAGGTCCCCAATCTGTTGAGCCAATACAAAGATTTTCCAGCCAGTAAAGTAACTTTCACAAGTTTAACATTCCTCGCGCCTGACATTTTTTTTAACTCTCTCACGGTGTATTATTCGTGGTGTACCTATGCCGCCTCTCAATTTGCAATCCAACGACTGACACAGCAAGTGCAAGCGACCAGACAAACAGGTGTCTTGTGACAAGAAATATTCATTCAGGTCATTCCCCATCCCAACTCTCCAGGATTACAAAGCACCCGTACATCCCACTACTTTGCGTGCACATTTGTGCGTATGCTTCCGACTGCATGTTCTCGTATGTATGCACTTTCATGCCTGCGTAGGTTTGCGTGTGTGCGCGTGATATACATGCGGGTATGGTAATCAAGTGCTGCATTAGGAGATCAATTGAAAAAATGTTGAGAAGAACATCCCTATCGATGGGACCTTTTTGCCAGTATCCAAGATGATGAAAAATAATAATAGGTGTTTACCCTTTCTGGCAATAAAACAGTAGGTGTTAAGATGTTCAAACACCTAAATAGATACCTGTGGCAAAACATTTAAACAAACATTCCTTAACAGGAGCTTGCTAACAGCCCTCGTACCCAAAGAGTCTATTTAAGGCTTTATGGGGAATCTTCGTCTTTGCTTTTCATACATAAACGTGTTTAGGTGATTTGCAAAGATGCTGTGTGTACATTCACCAAGAGCTTGTTGTACTTTGGCCGTTTGCGATGGTCTTTCGTAAGGCTGTCGAGAGACAAAAACATAACTTAGAAATGGCAGAGACGCCTTCGATGCGAGGACGGAAAGATGGCAAAACACGGCAAAACGCGGACGTCACATCACGGGAGGTGCACGTGGGCAAGCGTGCAGTGTGCGAGGTACCAGTCCTTTACGAACGCCTGGAAGTCAAGTGAGAAGCCCATGTCGCTTGGCAGGAGCGGAGGGTCTTCTTGAAGGACCTTGGTGAGCACCTCGAAATCTGTCTTGCAGTTCTGGTATGGGAACTGCCCCGTGGCCAGCTCCACCTACACCCCCAAGCAGAGCGTCACTGGATTAGCATTGCGTCTGTTGACCCAGGAAACCCTCACCGAGTCTCAAGACATTTTCAGGAAAGTTCTGCCAGGTTGTGGCAGTATGGGGAGATGTTTGTTCGTGTAATCCCAGGTGAGAAATAAAATGTGCAGGTAAATGGTCAGCATTGGGATGTTTTGCCAATACCATACAAAACAGAGTGACGTCAACAAAAAAACTCCACGCAGAAAGGCGCAGCGGTCGGGAATCGTACCCAGGTGCTGTTTGCCGTCAGGCACGTTATTGTTACCACTGCGCCACCCTGCCACCCAAATGGCAGACGCGAATACAACCTATAGCTGGGCAGGATGGAGCAGCAGAGTGGAGACGTTTCTATACCTGGGCAGTGTGCTTATGACCAGTTCGGGCTGAGCAGCTGCGATCTCGCTCCAAAACAGTTGAGTGACATTTTCATCGGCTGCATAATAGTGTGTGCAAGCTACCGAGCCTATGGTTCCATATGAAGCTGTGAGTCTTCTCTGCCACAATATGTGGACCCCTCTAAAAAAGCATCTACGCCAGTCTGGCCTGCCTATAATCAATCTATCATGAGTTTAACAAGGCTGGCTTGTGTGAGGAGCTCTAGTATCCTTGAAAGATCTGGACACAATCCAACCGGTGAGCTCCTCTGGCAGACAAGGCTGTGTTGGCTGGGTCACGTAGCCCACATGTCCTGCCACCGCATCCCCAATCATATTCTGTTTGGCCAGATATAGGGGGCTAAATGGGTTCAGCATGGCTGCAGAAGACATGGACTGATGTGGTACAAGAGGATGTAAAGCTGATTGGACATGCTGAAAACTCGTGCCAGCGGTGTCAATATCAGCTTTTGTGGAGGATCGTGAAGGACACTACTGAGGAGTCGAAGGCAGTTGCCCTTCAGCAACAATGAAGGGCAGCGATGCTCACAACAATGAGCAGAGCGCCATGCGGCGACAACGCAGCGAGGTGGCAGAGTGTGGGAGTACAGGTGGGGTATTGGTCAACCCACAACACCTAAGCCACTTGTCAGCGAGCCTTCGACACTTTACGTGGCCTAAAAGTCTATCTGAGCCTGGCACAAGCGCTGTGGTAACATCACTGCCACTACGTGCCAATTGGTGGCTGTTGTTGTTGTCATAGTGTGTTTAGTTTGTTGTCCTTCCCCCGCACCTCTGATTAGCGCGGTTGGCTACATACGGTGCGAAAGAAGTTCAACATACACACACACACACGTGTGCATGGTGTAGCGAATGTCGTGTGTGTGGTGTGGTTTCGTTTGAAGTGGTGTATGCAGTGCGGTGTACACTCAAATATTCTGAATATATTTGAACAATTCAGGATCACGATTGAAACTCCTGAATCGATGAGTTTGGTAAGAAGCGAGAATAGTTTAGAGATGAGGGTCTGCCAGTGCATCCTGACATGCGAGGGCTGTTCAAGGCCCAGTGGATAACGGTGTTCAGGCCGGGTGACCATGTGAGGGATGAGGAATATGCGGCCATGGAGGGCACGAGGGAGGAGACTGGCCATGAGTGCAGCGCACAGAGGAAGCGACACGTTTGAAGTGCGTTTCACGCAACCAGACGAGTCTCATGTGCAAGAGTCATCTGGGTCAACACAACGGCAAAATTAACAACGTAAAGAACTAAATTCAATAATAACGCAATGAGAGTAAAAACAACCGGACAAAAATCATCACCAAGACAAATGCATTATAGGATTTAAATATCGAAAAGTTCTGAAAAATAACCAACCTTGATTAAAATTAACTTCCTATAGCTAGAGTTGGCCTCGGATAAATTAATTAAATAAAAACGATCGTAAAACTACGTGAAAGAAACATCGAAATGGATTTCGGGCGATGACTGCGCTGCTGTGTACATCGACAAGGATCTACGTGAGAGGATGTGAAGAGTGGATGGATCGGCCTGTACCAGTGAGATTCCCAGACTCCAGACGTCCGCCCGGATGTCATAGTCAGGGTGCGTTGGGTCCGGAGGATCTATTCTCTCAGGCTACGCACATGGGAATGCACGGACACATACAGACGGGACCACCAGCTGTAAGAATAAAAATAATCATAAAAACACCATTCGTTTTAAATGCAGTAACGGTATAAATATACATTTTTATTTAAAGCTTTCGTGACTGCAAGAATTCATATTCTTGGTTCTTTTGGTAAAGGCACGTGGAAGGGAAATAATAAAATAATAAAAATATTAAACAATTAAAATTCTCACGACGTTTCGACTGCAACACAAGCAATCATCATCAGGTAAATGTTATCAACTTTCGTTGAATTATGAAGTATATTGCCCCCATCAATCGTAATTGGTACAAGAATGCTCTAATATACGAGTACATATACATAATTAAAATCTATTTTTCTAAATGTTAAATACATTTTCTGATTATTAATTGCTACAACCTGTAAATGCCTAAGGATATACTACAACGAATGCTGTCGATACACTTTCTAATAATGGCGACGTTTCCATATAATTTTCATTTTTATTGCATTGCATTGGGAAAGCTGTGCATAATCACTCGCTCACGGAATCACTCCGGTCACTCGCTCACCAGCGGTCAGTCACCTATTTGTCACTCTTCTGCCGCTACTACCGTGGCTACTGTACCCGTGAACTTCACGCGTCGATTCCGCCACCCAGACTGTTTCCTCCAATCGAAACCGTACTCAACCACCACCCACTGCAGGCCACAGTCGCCATTCGCCGCTAATTGATGGTGACGTCACCACGGCGCTTGTGCCAGGCTAGGAGCACCTTGAGGCGATGTGAAGTGCCGAAGGCTCGCTGACAGAACACGGGACAGACCCAGGTGACCGACTGAAATGACTGCCAGATGCACCATCTTGCGCACCGCACATTGCTGTGAGCGTCACTCATCTGCTTTCCTCAATTTTTGGAGGGCGACTGCCGACATTCTTTTGTTCATAAGAGCCACTGCCTGTTTTTTGGCAGTTTCCTCCCACTCATCGTACCGGGAGCCAGAACCAGTCCACCGGAACTCCTGTGTCAGCCTCTCCCCCGCAACGGGTGTGTGGACAATCCACGTGGCCAACTGCAGAGTGGTTGCCTGCTCTTTCTGGAAACCCCCTGAAAACTATAAAACTATTAACTATTTTACCAGGTAAGGCCCCACTGAGCTAAACTGCATAGCTCTTTTCAGAAGCGAAGTGGCTTATCGTGTGGAAATGTATAGCAGACAACAGACATCATAAACGCCTGTTCCCTTGGGTCCTCTAGTAAAAGTACAAGCTTAATTTGGGTGTTTGCACTGAAGTGGTTGGCAAAATAAATGCAATTTGGATGGGTTACGAGCCCCTCGCACACACTAACACAAAGCTTCCCCGTGTAGCCTGAACAGACTGTTGGGGCAAGTGCTGTTAGCGGGTAGCACCTATGAAGGCCGGCAACACACGAACACCACGCCCGGCGGCCTTTGTCTCCCTCGTGGCGATGTTTACACACCACACCAGGTACTAATTTGAGGCTGGGTCCATTTAGGGGAGGCCCAGGACCGGTTAAGATAATCGTCACCGGTGGTGGCCGTGAGCGAGAATAGAACTCGGGTCGCCGGCTTTGTAGCGCAGCGTAGCGCTAACCGCTACACGACTGCTCCCCACTCAGCCACCCACCGACTCACTCAAGCACCACACCTCAAATCACAACAATTCCGTACCGTAGTCTCCTCTCACAAAACCTCTTCTAACCATCTCGCTCAATTCAAGAAACGTTTGGCACTCTTATCCACGACAACTTTTAAAGTGCCGTTTGTTGCTGGCCTCTTCGACATGTTGGACCTTGGGGCCCTGTGCTTGGCGGCGGACTCGTAACCAACAACAACATGCAGGCCCGGCAGGAGAGAGGCACTCACCGCCATGTAGGCAGCGCAGCCGGCGCCCCGGGTCTTCGCTTTGCTGTCCACCAGGCGACCGCTGATACCAAAGTCGCAGAGCTTGATGCGACCCCTGGAGTCGAGCAGGATGTTGGAAGGCTTTACGTCACGGTGGATGACTCCGTGCTTCTCCTTGAGGTAGCTGAGAGCCTTCACTATCTACAAAGGTGACAAAGGTCCTCCATATGGCATTCAACAGACTGTTGGGGCAAAGCGAGCGCTCTATGATGGCGCTCGCTTTGGGGTGGGTGGCCAACATTACACCCGGTCGCCTTTGTCTCCCCAGTGGCGATGTTTACACCTCAGTACCAGGCACTCATTTGAGGCTGAGTCGGCCTAGGGGAGGCCCGGGACCGGTTCAGATAATCGTCACTGGTGTTGGCCGTGAGCGGGAATCGAACTCGGGTTACCGGGTTTGTAGCGCAGCGCGCTCACTGCTACACTACCGCTCCCCACTATCTATATATATAAAAGAAAAAAAATTGTGTGTGTGTTTGTGTATGGGTTTGTGTATTCGCGCGCTTGGCTCTCCAACGGTGGGGTTTACTTAAAAAAATAGCTAGGTACACTATTCCTTTTTCACATCCGTCAACTTTAAATTAGTTTCATTAGCGATTTAGTGCGATTTTTGTGCGCTTCCCTTTTATTTATGTATTTATTTATGACGCGTGCACGACCATACCAACTCACGCGCCTTTGGTGGGGGGGGGGGACCATGCCAAGTCGCACGCCTTTGGTGGGAGTGAGGGGGACATTTTCTTTCGCGTTAAAAAAGCTATAAAAATACACTAAATGCTGACGTCAATTCTTCACTGTGTGATGTCCCCCCCACCCCGATGCGTGCAGTTATTACTACTATACAGTCGCTAGATGCTACCACTATAGGCCATAGATATTACTGCAGAGCGGCCGGTGAGATCATGGCTGGTGGGGGAGTCAGGGTTAGCAGCCCAGCCCCAGCCTGCCAAGGTGCCACCTCGGCCGGCTGGACAATCTAGGCGAGGCCGGAGGCTCTGCACGGGACTAGGCCTCACCACGCCACTCTATCAGGTGAGTACTTTGTGCTATAGAGTCGATAAATACTGCTATAGAGTCAGCATGTACTACTGTAGTGATAGCAGAAACCACCAGTCGGTATGCACTGCTTTAATCATAGCAGGTACCACCAGTCGGTATGCACTGCTGTAATCATAGCAGGTACCACCACGGTATGCACTGCTGCAGTGAAAGCAGGTACCACCACAATATGCACTGCTGTAATCATAGTCAGTATGCACTGCTGTTAGATTTTTAAGAGTAGTTTTGAAATATTTTAAAGACCCGGGCAACGCCGGGTACTTCCTGCGAGTACTATCTACAAAGACGCCCCCCGTACAGCTTTTAACAGACTCTTGGGGCAAGTGCTGTTAGCGAGAGCGCCTTTGAAGGCCAGAACAGAATACAAGGGGGTGGGGGTGGCCAGCACCACGCCCAACCGCCTTTGTCTCCCCAGTGACAATGCTTATGCACTACACCAGGGACTCATTTGAGGCTAAGTCGACCTAGAGAAGGCACAGTACCGGTTAAGATAAGTCGACCTATCTACACAAAGATAAAGACAAATACCCCCCGTATAGCCTGTAACAGACTGTCGGGGCAAGTGCTGTTAGCGAGCACCTATAGAGGCCACGGAAGATGGACGGTTACATCCATCAAAACACTGGGGCAAATATAAGAATTCCAGCCACGGTCACTTTCCTCCAATGCACAACAACTTAAATGTGCGCCCTCTCGTCACTGGCGACGCACGCACGCGTGCCCCCCAAGCGTCACAGTTTCATCGCGGAGTAAACCGTCACGGTGCGGCCCTGCAACTCACTGCTCACGCCCACTGCTGGCGGAAAGCCCTCCGCTGGAACCAACTCCGGAGGGTATTTGGTCTACTCTTCCACATGAACCAGGCGATGTCAGGAGAGACGGGCATACCCACATTGTGGCCCACCACACGCGGCCTGCCAATCGGCAAGCTGTGCCGTCAGCCATTTTACACTCCGCGGTGGATAGAGACGGTGGAACTTGCGACACGGTTTCAACTTTCATGTCGTTTGCGACCTGTATACAACATTCGTAAACTTACCGCAACGGTCATTTTCCCCAGGATATTCTCCGGTATCGGTCCTTGGATCCGCTTTTTTAATTTTTCTGCGCAGGTCCCCATCAGCTCCATTGCAATGAAAACGTCCGTCTATGCAGGCACACACGCACACACGCACACACGCGGGTTTACACGCGTGCGCAGGTGTCACGTGTTTCACATGAAAGGCAATCCCGCTTCAGATCTTCTGACTTGCCACCCTTACCTGGCAAGTAGACATGGATGAAAAATGCAGGTCTTAATGTAACGACACAGATTTGCAGACTACCGAGTGAATCACGTCTGGGAATAAATATATTTCGTATTCCATTGTCACCAGGCAAGAACCATTTGGACTTCACCGCCAATATCTTTTAAATAAATTGACAAATCTTCAACATCCTGGAAGTTTGAATCAATTAGAGAGTTATCCATTTGTGGATATCTCACCAATGACCCTCTTGTATGCATATACGTACGTACGTTGAACGTCTTTCGCACCGCACGTAGCCAACCGTGCTCTTCTCGACACCAGGTAAACACGGCAACACCAAAAAAAGCGTTCCCTGGAGCGGAGCTACTCACACCGACATCCGCAGCGAGTGGGCGGCTAGATGTGTGCGGCTGCATGTGCGCGTGAACATTTGCGTTGTGCGTGAGCATGCCGAGTACAGTATGGTGGAACATTGGCACGCACCAAAGAAACACGCATAAAATGCTACGTGGTAGATCAATCGTTCTCACAATTGATTCTTTCCCACCATAGTACCTTCCAATGGACACAACACTCTCACAAGCGCCTTTCTAGCAACTGTCTCAGCAACAATCTTTGCAATGTCAAACCGCGTACAGCCAAAACATCACCCCCATGTTCCGGAAACAAGACCTCATTAAGTAAACTGTGTAAAGCCGCAACACGCGTTCAATAAAACGTCGTCGGTTTTCCTGTATTCATAATTATTAGTATTATTTTGCTTGTTTAGCCAGGAAAACCACACCGAGTCTCAATCCTCAATTTCAAGAGGGTCCTGCCAAGTCTTGTTTTACTCTCCGTAAAGTAGAGCGAGTAATTTGAAGGTAACCTTTCAGCATTCTAATGTTTGGCCAACACCACTTATTTATTGAGCTATGGGAAGAAACCAGAGAACCCAGAGAAACCGATGCAAAACAGGGGGAAGGCACAGAGAAAACTCCATGACAAGAGACTGCTACACTGTCCCACCTTCCGATTTACTCCGGGTTTCATTTTTTGCATACTGGTCATGGAGACATGTCACCTGTTCTGGCTGTACTCGGGTGGGTTGCCACCTGTCCGGTTTTTATCCGCAGTCAGGGAATTGGCATCTGTGTTCGGGTGAAGAATTGATTTGTACCGAGATCTGGTACCGGTATTCTATTGATTCGTTTTTTTTATTACAATAAACTGCACAGTTTTGATAGATCTAGGACAGCAGTGGCAAATACACCTAGGCCCGTGATCCATTTTGGTAAATATCAACGGGCTCCGAGATGGAACAGAAATCTCCGACCAACAACTTTATCACTATACAGGAATACAGGAACACCGTCGCCAAAGTGGCTTTACGGAACACGTGTTACGACTAGACACGGTTTACCCGAGGTTTGCTTTCTGGAACACGGGAGTGACGCTTTGGCTGTACGCGGTTTGACGCTGCTAAGAGTCTCATTCTCATCTCCACGTCGAAGAGTACTGCCGTGAGAGTGCTGCATCCGTTGGAAGGTGAGGATGAATCAACTGTGAGAACGATGTATTTACCATGTATACTTTTACGTATGCTTTTTGGTGTTTTTGTGTGGTAGTGTAACACACTCAACACGCACAATGCACTACCATCCACTCATTGAGGATGGTAGTCATAGCGAGGCCCAGATGGTGGATCGGTAACGGTGTTAGGGGCGAGCGTCGGGCTGGCAATTCAGGGTCAGGGGCGAGCCTTGGGCGTGAGTGACGCGGTGTGGGAAGATGAATGGAGAAGGGGTTGATGTGTTAAGGTGAAATTTAAAAATAAAGAGTGTACACACACACACACAAGGATAGCGACGCTGCATACTGTTTACAATAGCAAGGGCGGAAATCACGTAGAATTATTTCAACAAAGAGGGAGGGGATGATAATTTCGAACCCAGGAACGCAAACCTATTTTCCCCACAAGGTCTATTATGAGTCAAGAGCGGTTTTGCCCAACGAGGAATTTTCTAGGAACGTAACGCCCTCGTTCGGCGAGGCTTGCATGGATCGACAGAGTACTCACTCCATCTATTGGGAGAAGTTATTATGTTGAAATGTACAAATTCGTAGTCGGAGATTTTTATTTGTCATCAGCCGCAATGAAAATTGTCGCCTGCTTATGTTTTCGGATTTGTCCTGAGATTCACAAAAAATGTTTTGCAGTCCACCCTTGGATTACGATCTATGCATTTGCCACCACTGACCTCGGCTGATTGAGCAACATGCCCGGGTTTGGTCTATATGTGTGTTGAAATTCTTTCGCACAGTACGTAGCCAACCATGCATATTGGAGGTGTGGGGAAAGGACAACAAACTAAACACAATACGCAGTTCTAAAGAAATAAGTTTTAAAATCTAGATTTAAAAGTGCATAACTCCAGTGGCTTCCTAACATCAGAAGAGCGGTCCAGACGGCCGCAGAAGCACATCTGAAAGTGCGCGATGCGGTGACCGTCTTTGTTTGATGGCCAGCGAAAAGTCGCTGCTGCTACTGCTGCTGCTTCTGCGAGGGTGTCTGTGGAGGTGGTGGCACTCGTGGCCCTGGAGGGGAGGGGGTGGAAGGTCGCGGGGGCTCACGTTCGTGATGAAGGAGCCGTGGCACTGCACGATGTAGGGGCAGTCGTGGCTCTTGAGCACCACGTCCAGGTCCATGAGGATCCGCTTATTCTCATCCTTGTTGCCCGAGCGACGCATTTGCTGTCACAAGAGACGCGGGCGCGAGCATGAGCACAGACAAGCGCGAGTACGAAGGTGCGTTGCCGGCGTTCATAGGCGCTACTGACTAACAGCACTTGCCCCTACAGTCTGTTGAAGCTATACGGGGGATCTTTGTCTTTGTTTATACGCAACACACAGAGCGTTCAGAAAAACAAGCGAACGTTGGCAATGGCAATTTGCGCGAGCTTCGAAGATATCGGACAGATTACCTGTTTAGAAAATATCTGCAAAAGGTTTGGCGACCCAAATCCCACAGATTCCAATCCCCTAATATGCAACTGATGGACCCATAATCCAGATATGCGTGCATATCTCTCTGCGCTCGAGCCACGATCACACAATATCTTGAGATGGAGCTGCGTTAGGATGCTAAGTAAATACAAGTTGTATTACAAAAGGCAATACAAACGATTATACATCCAAACATACACATTATATGCCTACATTGTTATGTGTCCGTGTATATACAGTGAGGGAAAAAAGTATTTGATCCCCTGTTGATTTTGTACGTTTGCCCACTGACAAAGAAATAATCAGTCGAAATTTTTAATGGTAGGTTTATTTGAACAGTGAGAGACAGAATAACAACAACAAAATCCAGAAAAACGCATGTCAAAAATGTTATGCATTTATTTGCATTTAATGAGGGAAATAAGTATTTGACCCCTCTGCAAAACATGACTTAGTACTTGGTGGCAAAACCCTTGTTGGCAATCACAGAGGTCAGACGTTTCTTGTAGTTGGCCACCAGGTTTGCACACATCTCAGGAGGGATTTTGTCCCACTCCTCTTTGCAGATCTTCTCCAAGTCATTAAGGTTTCGAGGCTGACGTTTGTCAACTCGAACCTTCAGCTCCCTCCACAGATTTTCTATGGGATTAAGGTCTGGAGACTGGCTAGGCCACTCCAGGACTTTAATGTGCTTCTTCTTGAGCCACTCCTTTGTTGCCTTGGCCGTGTGTTTTGGGTCATTGTCATGCTGGAAAACCAATCCACGACCCAATTTCAATGCCATGGCTGAGGGAAGGAGGTTCTCACCCAAGATTTGACGGTACATGGCCCCGTCCATCGTCCCTTTGATGCGGTGAAGTTATCCTGTCTCCTTAGCAGAAAAACACCCCCAAAGCATAATGTTTCTACCTCCATGTTTGACGGTTGGGATGGTGTTCTTGGGGTCATAGGCAGCATTCCTCCTCCTCCAAACACAGCGAGTTGAGTTGATGCCAAAGAGCTTCATTTTGGTCTCATCTGACCACAACACTTTCACCCAGTTGTCCTCTGAATCATTCAGATGTTCATTGGCAAACTTCAGACGTGCCTGTATATGCGCTTTCTTGAGCAGGGGGACCTTGCGGGCGCTGCAGGATTTCAGTCCTTCACGGCGTAGTGTGTTACCAATTGTTTTCTTGGTGACTATGGTCCCAGCTGCCTTGAGATCATTGACAAGATCCTCCCGTGTAGTTCTGGGCTGATTCCTCAACGTTCTCATGATCATTGCAACTCCACGAGGTGAGATCTTGCATGGAGCCCCAGGCCAAGGGAGATTGACAGTTCTTTTGTGTTTCTTCCATTTGCAAATAATCACACCAACTGTTTTCACCTTCTCACCAAGCTGCTTGGCGATGGTCTTGTAGCCCATTCCAGCCTTGTGTAGGCCTACAATCGTGTCCCTGACATCCTTGGAGAACTCTTTGGTCTTGGCCATGGTGGAGAGTTTGGAATCTGATTGATTGATCGCTTCTGTGAACAGGTGTCTTTTATACAGGTAACAAGCTGCGATTAGGAGCACTCCCTTTAAGAGTGTGCTCCTAATCTCAGCTCTTTACCTATATAAAAGACAACTGGGGAGCCAGAAATCTTTCTGATTGAGAGGGGGTCAAATACTTATTTCCCTCATTAAAATGCAAATCAATTTATAACATTTTTGACATGCGTTTTTCGGGATTTTTTTGTTGTTATTCTGTCTCTCACTGTTCAAATAAACCTCCCATTAAAATTATAGACTGATAATTTCTTTGTCAGTGGGCAAACGTACAAAATCAGCAGGGGATCAAATACTTTTTTCCCTCACTGTACACAGTACACACACATTTATATGATGATCTGTACTAGAGTGCTATTCAAATTACAAGTTTGTTATTTCCAAGGTCATGCCTCCTGGTTTTAATCGTTTTCCCGTGATACTGAAGCACTGCAAGCTTAAAGACAACCCCCCTCAATAATTCCTGGACATCTTCACAGCTCATAGGATTCCTCCGGGATAAATAAAGATTCTGCCTTTGGCTGGTATAGCCGACGTATGCAGCGGGGAAGAGGCGTTCCAACGTCGCGTGTAAATACAAACGGATGAGAACGACACTTGCAGCGGTTGACTTTGAGCACAAACGTGACAAATGGAAAGGAGGGTGATAGCAGAAAACTAAAACTTCCTTTTTCATTTGCATGTTGAGTGCACGGGACAGTGTTCCTCACTTGCACATCTGGGTTTTCTCCAGGTGCCTCCGATATGTAAACGCTCATTGACAGGCCGATAACACCTGAATATCGAGAGGACTGCAGAGCTCGGGGTTATTATTGGCGCCAGATCACCGCGTGTCTGTTTCATCGTGCCTCCGAGTCGTTCTCTCTCTTTCTCTCTACAAGAGTGAGCGAATACTGTGGTGCATTACAATTTAAAGTTATTATACTCTGATGTGCAAATATACAGACGCAGTGCAGTGATCGAAAATGTGCCAGCGTAAAATGGTATGCCACACCAGCAATTCTTAGAACACCAGAAACGTGTACGACTGGTTCTTTGGACAACGGCTCCTATTCCTAAACTACCACGTTTCCACAGAGAAGAAATGGCGGTGAGAGTGTGTCAGGGTGTGCATCAGTGAACGCGGGCTGCAGGACGAACAGATTTCATACCGGGGCTTCTACAATCACATTTGAACCACAATAAATGCATGCACAACGCACACAATGGCAAAGCTCCCCTCTGTAGACCACTTCGTGCAAGTGCTGTTAGTGGGCACCGATGAAGGCCGGCGTGCGCTAATCGGAGGTGCGATGAGCACGGCAACAGAAACATCGAAAGTGGATTGACGGTGATGACCGTGCTCACGCCACCACGCGGCGAGAGAAAGCATAGCTTCCCACGCGTCGTCACGGAGCGTGCAGCTCGCTCACCTTCACGGCCAGGATGTGCGACGTTGGTTTGTAGCGCATTTTCCACACTTGCCCGCAGGTGCCGCTGCCCATCTCACCCAGGGTTTCCAGCTCGCTGATATCAGCCCGGTAGCGCTGTTACCGACACACACCCGCAATTCACCGCATTAACGTGCGCTGCCAACAGAGTAGCTTAATGTCATAACAAAGCCTCATTTACCATTTTGAACAGGCCGTACGACATCTAACGAAGCAATGCCCGATCCACAAATACGAAGGAGACATCACAGCGACGCACTACTCCGCTGGTTGTGCCGCGGTTATCTGGGCTTGACTACCACCTGAATGTGAAATTGTAGTTGTTGATCTGCATCTAACATCGGCAGCCATACGGCAAGAATAAGATTTACAGTTTTTTTATTCACCATTTTATTCAACTAAGTGTTTGGGAAATCAATACGACAGACGCAAATGGATGTTATTCATATTCTTTCAAACAACTGCACTGTGAACGCAGCGAATGCATTTTTATTTCAATAAGCTGCAGTCAACACCATCGGCCTCGATCGATCCTCTGCTGGGTGAAGGCCTCCCCAAGACACCTCCCACGATCCGACTATGCCGCAATCCGTCCAGCACCCGCACACAACCTGATTTCATTGCTCCAACTTCCCGGTGGACGACCTCTCGGATGCATTCCATCCTTTGGCTGCCACCCGTGATTATCCTTGACCATCCTCCATCACCTCTTTTCGGCCGTGACACAATCCTGCCCAAACCCACTCACTGTTCTTAACATTTTGGATGATGTCATTAACCTACAATTTTTCTCTAAATCCATCGATTATAATCGGAAACAAACCATAAAAGTAAAAATCATCCTCATCATGACACAGCGCAAGTTGTAGCTGTTTAATTAAAACTATTCTGGTTTGGAAAATGGTAAAGTAACTCAACTGGTATACATGCTTGTGATTTGAATGAGGCGAGTTATCTCTTTCTTATGCTCATTATTGGACTGCATAGTTATTCGTGTGCATTTTTAGGCAAGGGCCATGGTGATGTCAACGCAGACACAATGCGCATGTATGACTCAATACCCACGGTATATCTCACGCAATTTCCCTTTAACTTTTCAATGCAAAATGTCCCTTTGTTTACCAGCTATTATAGACATGCGTGTGTGTGCTTGCTCAGTGGGGAGCACAGGTGGTGCGTCAGCCAGCCATCTCAGTGAACCCACAGGCACCTGGGTCTGTTCCATGACCTCCTGCCAGCGAGCCTTTGACATTTCACGTGGCCTCAAAGTGCACCTAGCATAGCAGAAGCGCCGTGGTGACGTCACCGCCACTTAATGGTGAACGGCGGTTGTTGTTGTCGTCGTTGTTGTCAAATGCAAGTGCACGGTTTAGTTTGTTCTGCGCGTACCTTCCCATCCAGCGTCAGGAAGCCGGTCTGATTCATGATCTCCTGCAGCTTCTGGTCAATTTCGACACTGCAGAACGCACACAACGGCAAGACCCACATGTACACACCACACAGGTGCAGCGACTCCCTCGCAGCTCGGAGGGCAGTGCCACCAGCGGAGGACCCTCTCGTGTACCGACTGCCCAGAGGTGGCCCCGAGCATCTCTCGGCACGGTCCAAATCTCACGTTCCGCACCACCACTTTTTTCGGTGTCCCAGGCCAGTCGTGAAAAATGAGATTACCCCTTTCCTCTCGAGCTCTCGCCTGGTCAAACAAATCAAAGTCAGCATCCTCAACACAGCCTACCGAAATCCTGAATAAGCCACTGCCTCAATTGTTTTCCGAATACATTTCTGCCATTCTCAATCTTACGTGTGGAAAATTCTCAATTCACCAACGGATGAAGGCCTCCCCACATATGAGCGTTTTTTTTACCACCACAATATTCCACCATGCCAGTCACTGCCGATTGGTGGAGGGGTGGGGGGAGTGCAGGAGGGGTTCGGATATTAATTGTCACTGTTAGCCCTGGTCAGGATGTGAACTCGGGTTGCCAGGTTCGCAGAGCAGTGCATTAACCACTGCACCTGCCACGGTGTTCAGTATGCGTGTATTTGACGCAATGAGATATATATTTTTTTATTGATATTACACCTATTCACCCAAGAAATGCTCCCTTAGTCTAAAGAATCTTTTTTCAGAAGACTCCTGCCAAGTTTTCACAGTAGAGGGGCGATAATTATTATGCATACGGGCAGACCTCTTATAGCCTCAGGATGCGTTCTAGGTAAACAGCGCGAGAGGTCATTATAACACGGTTCCAATGGAGATGCGTCAACGAGAGCGCTATTTTGTTACCTAGGAGCGATATACGAGGGCTTCATTGGGGCATCGGTAATAGCCTTAATGACACTGAGCACATGATAAATATATAAAAGCATTATATAAATAAAAATAAGTTTTAATGAGAACATGTAAAACACAACGGGTGATCCACTCACTCACGTAAGATTAACCACCGACGAAGCTGTACTAACAAATGAGATTACTCGATCCGTGGATCGCTCGCCAACGAATTCCTGCACCGATTAACCCTCGGTGAATCGCTCCTCGAAAGTGGCTGTTGGATCGACTATGACCAGAATCGATACAACGGACACCTCGATTTAGGCTCCACAAAACTGTTCTTTGGCTGAGACACGCCCCTACGGGCAACGCCACGCCCACTCTCTTCCATATATGGGTTGATCCGCGCAGTAATTTTCCTCCAGGGCAAAGAACGTTACAAGGAAAGAGCGTTATAAAAGGCTGCGCTATAAGAGGAATGCCTCGATTCCAATTATGATAATTAGCCGGTGATTTAAAAAAAAAAATTGGCAGATTTTGAGCAAGAAGCCGGCACACAACATCCACTGTGATGCAGACTGCGCACATTTTTACAGCTAATAACAACCCCACAGCGTTAACCAGCACGGCAGCTGGATTCAAATCGTGGGCCTCTGCACTAAGCGGCAAACCGCGCTGCCACTGGGGGGGGGGGGGCGATGTTGCTTCTGTGTGTCATCCCAAACTGAGCAAGTTTGCAGATATTTTAGTACTGGGATATTTGGCCAAGACCTGTTATGTTGAGTGGTTTAGCTACGGGAGGAACCTGGAGGAAACCCGTGCAGAACAGGGTGAGAACACACAAACTCCACGCAGAAAGGCTCCCTATTCGGGAATAAGGCCATGCTTGCTATGAGCTGCACGTGTAACGACTCCGCCACCCTGCCGCCTGAAAGCAAGACACACGAACAAGCAAGCGCTCACCTCTCTAAACTCCGAGGGGTCGAGCCATAAGATGACGGAGGTAGCTGCAGTGTCTGTCGAAACCTGGGGACCGTGCCATGCTGCGTGTTCCCCGGAGGCGTGGTGTGCGTGGCGTGCGAGGTGTGCGTGGTCGGCGAGGTGTGTGTTGTGTTCACGCTGTGGTGGGTGTGCGTTGTCCCTCTGGCTTGTAAACACGCCTGCAAACCAGCAAAAAAAAAGCACCCCGATCGAAAAACAACAAGTTAGTCCGCCAGCAGCCAAAGCCCATGGAGACGCAAACAACCCCCCCCCCCCCCGTCTGTCAGCCATGCTACCTCACAGGTCAGTGTTCACCCACATCCACACACCGTCAAAGCCTCATGACGCCCATTTGACTGTCCTCCATTAACTCTGACCGTCTTCGTCCTGTCCAACGCAATCAGAATCTTCATTCATCCTTGAGGAATCTGATAAGCGACAAAGCTCTTTCCCACCGATGTCCAGTCGGGGCATGGGGTCAGCCAGAACTCGCCGATAGATTGGGGATGGTTGCATTGCACTCATTTTGAAGCGACACTCCTTTCAAAACATTCTGCCCGCCAATGAATAGAGTAAAATTCTAATGAAGTTCGCCAGTTTTGCTATCTTTGTAAGGAGGGGTGAGCCAGTGGGCTTGCCACGTTAGCGAGAACTTAGCTTTCGTAACGAGCACCGGCAATGAAGTGTCGTGGTACAAGACACGTTTCTTTCATAGTATGTTTGTGTAATATTTCCGAATGAACAATTGGTGAACTGACAAGGGGTTCCCTGCAACCGCAGCGTAGGTCAAACAACTTCTTTAAAAGAGACAGGAAAGGTGAAGGGTCGTACATTACGTTGTTGTTGTGCCCTTTGTTTACCCAGGAAAGCCTCACTGAGTCGCAAGACTCTCTCTCTCAGGAGGGTCCTGCCAAGTTTTCGCAGTAAGAAGCGATGTTGCTGCTGCGTGTAATTCTAATCGAGTATAATAAATACCCCGCTGTAAGCTGTCGCATTATGTGTTGTTGATTGATTTGGGAACATATTTCATACCTGTCAACCCATATAGTTTACCCGTATTCTTGTACAGGGAAATTGAGTTTTCAGGTCCATATGGCGTACAGCCGTTTCAATACGGGCAAAACATTTTTATTGTCTATTTGTTTGTGTTTCTCCCTTGTGATGGGACTTTGTAGGATGAACGTTGAGATTTCTAAGGGGTACGGGGTGACCAATAAGGTCTGTAATAAGGTAGGCACTGATAAGGGGTTGACAGGTATATTTCCTCGTAAGTGTAATGCGTCGCATACAAGCGTCCTTATGAAAAAACTGTGCAAGCGAAACATCTATTTGTACATTTTTTGCAACGTTATACAGGGCTGTACGCGCGTAATGCGGACAGCCAGAAATGCCTCTGCCACGCGCTCCGCCTGCCAGTCCTCCATTTTGTATGTTCGTTGCGCATGGGTGAGGTATAAATACTGTACAGCGTGAGGCGATCGCTAAAACAAAAAAAGTACAAAGGGCTTAGAAGAGTGTTCTTCATTGCAAGGCCCGTGGGCCACTGGCGGCCCCTGACGTGCGGCCCACCGACAATACACAAATGTGAAGACACCCCCATCATCATCATCATCATCGTGCTGCTGTCAAACCGCAATGGTTTCAAATGTGTAGCGCCCCTCGCACTTATGATGTCTCATCAGCGAAAGTGGCCTCCACCCGTCTGGAAATAATCACATTGCCTCTGGCAAAAAAAGGTTGAAGGATAAGTATTCATCTCGAGGTTAAATTAGAAATTTCAAAGCATTTTGAGGCAGGTGTCAAGGAAGTCTTTCTTGCCAGAATTCTTGGCCTACCCACGACCTCGGTGAGAAGTATTCAAGTGAATGCGAGAAACATTATAGAATTTGCTAAAAATGTGGAACCTTTAACTGCCACTAAAACAACTCGTATAGAAGTTGTGGAATTTTAGAAAGACTCACTGTCTGGATTGAACATCAAAATCAGCATAGCTCTTCAACCACCGAATTGCATTATTTGAATTTATAATTAGTAAAAAAATGTATGCTAAATTGTAATCACATGCATTTTTGCACACTTCATGACATTTAGTTACGTATTTTTTTCCAGAAATGTCGGCTAGGAACATAACCCTATGGAAAAATTAGAGTACGCTTGAAGTAATTTCGAGTTAAGTAGCATTCCCCCAGGAATGCATCCCTTACGTATAGTGGGGAAATCACTGTATTTTTTATGCATTAGGCTGTTTGGCCAATACCAATAACATTGCATCTTTACTTTTGCTCTGGCAGGGAACCTAAGAATCCAAAGAAAACCCATGTAGACACGGGGGGGAGGGGGGGAGAACATACAGACTCCACACAGAAAGGCACCCGAGTCGGGGTTTGAACCCAGGTGCTTCTAGCTGTGAGGTACGAGTGTGTACCACCGCGCTGCTACGCTGCTGCATTGCTCACCTGTGTGGACTGGTGCGTGTGTGTCGTGTGTTGTGCTCCCTGCGTTGGTGTGTGTTGGTGCCTCTGCCCATCGCTCTGATAGGTGGAGGTCTGGGTCGGAGGCTGCAGGGTGAGACCCACTGACACGCGCACACATACAGATACGGGGGCACAAGGAGACACAATGAAACGCAGCGCCAAGCACAGATGCATAAGAATAAGCACGTAGACACACACACACGTGAACACGGGGCAGTGAGACAATTCCATTGATGAGCGCGACAGCCACAAAAATATATTCTTTGGGTTAAATCTTGACTTAAAGCTTTCGTGACTGCAGGAATTCATATTGTTTGGGTCTTTCGGTAAAGCCACGTAGATAGAAAAAATAATACTAATAAACAAGCAACCGTCACCTGATGACGATTGTTTGTGTTGCTATCGAAATGTCGTGATATCGTGATTATTTTTTCTATATACGTGGCTTTACCGAAAGACCCAAACAATATGAATTCCTGCAGTCACGAAAGCTTTAAGTCAAGATTTAACCACAAAAATACGTCGCGTTCTCATATTCGACTAAAAGAATGCTCATTAGTTTAGCTTTCAAAACATGTGTCTCCGTCAAGTCCATTTTCCCCATTACCCAAAGATCTGAGTACAAGTTCTATCCATCCACATTCTCACCTGTGAAATGCATCGCTTTACATAACGACCAAGATATCACCTAAAGGTAAATTATTATTTTTATTTTACCAGGTAATGTCCACTGAGCTAAGCAGCTCTTTTTCAGAAACCACCTGGCCACAAATGATAGCTCAACGAAGTGGCTTATCAAGTGGAAATTTATAGCAGCCAAATACTCGAAACGCGTGTTGATTATAAACGTGGAGAGAAAATCCAGAGGACCCGGAGACAAATCCACGCGACCAGGGGGAGAACATGCAAACTCCAAATATACAGGCGTCAGGGTAGGGATCGAACCCACGCTCTCCTATATACCAGGCGAGGGAGTTTAACATCTCACCACCGTGGCGCCCTAAACATGGCATCTCTCTTGACAAGGCTCTCAATCACACAGCCCCCACATTCCAGTCACCGTTCACCGTCACCATCTCCTCCGCGCTCTTGTGCTGGACAGTTTTTTCAATGCACAGCGTCTCATCCACGAGGACGCGGTCAGCGGGAACGAATGACGCTTTAGCCCAGCAAATTTCCGGTGCTTATTTGAATGACCAATAAAGCCACTCGATTTGAGACGGCAACACTGCGGGCAGCAGATGCAATCCACAAGTTGCGGCACGATTCCTTAAGCTACTCCACAGGCTTCAGTGATCACAGCAAAGAGCAGCTTGCAAAATGGAGACCACTGCAGGAAGGCGGTCCTCACGATGCCATGGTCTCCAATGCCTTCTGTCCCTCAGAGCTGTTAGAACCAAGAGTCTGCTGGCCCAGGGAATGGCCCAGTTCTGGTCCAGACAGAGAACCACAGGCAGGGCCCGATGCCTGTGAGCCATGGAGAGTACATGAGCTCAGCCCCTCCCCTAAGCCCTCCACCCGTCCTTACATTGCAAATAAATTGTCATGTAATCGACGGTGAGGATAGATTATTTTAGCTTGTTTCGGTTTTCGCTCCGCCGAGTGTTTTAGCGCAAACACGGATGGGCGGCCGACATCAAAGTGCGCAGTATATGCTGGGCATCTGTTTAAAAAAAGAGCTTTATAGCTCATCGGATTCCTCCAGCATAAATAAATATCCCGATTCTGATCTCGCTTCCGCAATGATTCCGTGGCATTGCAGCTGCTTGCTGTGAGCGTGAGACCCGGGCCCAGGGGCCTCGGTACAGAAAACACTCATAAAATCAGGCAGACTGCAACTGTAGATAAGATCTGACACTCCGAATGAGACAATGTAATAAATGTTGAAGTAAAAATGCGAGTCCAAGTGAGGTCGCAAATATAGCGGTGTGGCACTGGTTGCTATGTCATATCTCCCACTACACCGGCCAATCAGCTGCCAAGAAGACAACTGCCTTGTAACATGACCACCAAGCAACCATACAACATGGTCACCGTGACACCAAAAAATATGGCTACGGAGACAAAGTGACCGAACTCACTTCACCCTTCCCACAGGGATATGCAACGAGGCGGGAAGTGAAAGCCCATTTAGCCGGGCGCCGTTTCCAACCCAGTGCTACTTACTACACGATCGCTATGCGGCGTGCGTACACCGTACCCATCGGTGTGACACACGGCGTGCAGTGCGAGGGCCCCGCGCTACGTGTGGACACCGAGCATGGACCGCTCGTGTCTACCCAAAAGTTACATTTCAAGTAACAACGGAACAGTGTACAAACAATACGGCATTGTAAAATAGTGATTAATTCTCTTTAAATGGTTATACATGACCAAATTAACAAAAGACGCAACACATTCACCAATAACACTGTGGCCTTAAAAGGAAAAATAACCATTTATGTATTCAATAGGCGACGTTTTGGGTAATGGGCTTTCTTCACAGCACAAACCTCACATCCACCACACAAGTTAAGGTCAATATAGGATGCATTCAACACCCCGAGTTCACACGAACTGCAGAGCCATACAGCAGGAGGTTATACGCACTGCGCACACACCACATCATGCGCAACGATGATGAGAGTTAATAAAACAGGGGAGGTGGTTTGTGCGCGTGGATGGATTTCGCTCTGAAACCAAACAAAGTCGTCAGCCTGGGTTTCCACTGAACGCTTCAGAGAGCCTCACGTGGCAGCTGCACACTTGAGAACCGCCAACGCAGCTCGGAGCGGGCCAATCGCGCAACAGCGGTGCCAGGAGTAGCCAATCAGGCAACTCGCATGTGTCGCTGTGGGAAACCCAGCCTGCCTCCGCTTTGCCAGGTTTGCGAAGAGCAAAAACCAGACGCTGAGAACGGAGGTGCCACTGCCAACGCAAGAGTGTCCGCGTGCTGTTAATTTATAACGGCGCTGTTAAGAGCGTAAATATCATACGTCAAGTGTTAATATTCAGCGACGTCGGGCACGCGGTTTGGCTGGTTAATGCAGCATGTCGTGGAGGCCGCAGAATATGCGAATGGATTTTTGGCAAGAACCTCTGTTTTATGAATGGCCCCAAACACCTGGAATTCCATCGCTTGAAAACACGCCCTCGGTTACTCTTCAATCTCGATCACAAGTTGATGCCGAGCTGTCGATTCTGTGCGATCACTTCACGTGCAGTTGTATTTTACTCGCACGCTCTCGTCCGTTTACGCAATAGTGGCCCCGAATCTATGTCGACGTTCAGCGTAACTTTAATTTACCCTGGTTTTATAAACAATTTGTCCAAATTAACTTTCGTTGCAGGAAATGTATACATTTCATATTTATTTCGGTGCTTATTTTGCACCAATTCAGTTATTTTGGCTCTAAAGATTTTCATTTGCTTTATTCTTGTAAAATCTTGACTTAAAGCTTTCGTGACTGCAGGAATTCATATTCTTGGATCTTTCGGTAAAGTCACGTAGATAGGTTCAAAGAAAATAACAAAAAATAACAAAAAAACTACGACGTTTCGATCGCAACACAAGCAATCGTCATCAGGATAATTTTTTTCCTGATGACGATTGATATGTCGTAGCTTTGTTTTTTTCTTTGAACCTATCTACGTGACTTTACCGAAAGACCCAAGAATATTTTTTCTTGTACTTTGATGTTATGCAATCGCTTTTGTCTTCTTGGTGACCTAGGTCAGATTTGCAATGGAGACTATCCTCATCTCTTTCTGAGTTCTCAACTAAATAAACTTGAAACCTGAACTCTGCATTGCAACGGCTGACCACGTGGATGAGGCACTGGCGAGCAATTGTTCATGGTCATTGACGAGCCGCGCTGCACAAAGTTTCCCCACTTACGCAGCTCTATAAAGTAAAGGCAGTGAAAGTCCCCTGGACGTGACACGGCTCGTTGGAGGGCGGTCCACTCGTGAGCACACTTGCCACGCACTGCTGGACCAATCAGAGGGTCGAGGGCTCAATTCCTGCTGCTGCCCAATGATGTTTGCAGGAGAACGGACTCAGGTTATGTACGGTACATGTGACATTCCCCGACACTTGGCGAATGTGTTCGAGGCCTTTTTTTGCAACACAAGTCAAATCCCGAATTTGAAAATGAACCACAAATTTAAACTAAAAACTATTTTTTATTTTACCAGGTAAAGCCCCACTGAGCTATGTAGCTCTTTTTCAGAAGCTACCTGGCCACAAATGATAGCTCAACGAAGTGGCTTATCATTAGGAAATGTATTGCAGTCAAATACTCTCAACGCACGTTTTTAAAAGTGGAGGGAAAAACTGAAGGACCAGGTAAATTGCCTCTATGCAACTATGAAGCGATGCAAAAATGCATGAACTTGCACAGATGCATCCACGCGAGCCGAGGCCATTAGTCGGTGAGCCACAAGCGTGCTTGCCGTTGGGTAACGGCATGCTTTATATCTGTGGTGCGGGCCGCCACTCCCGCGGCTTTGATGCGTGTGCAGGAGCGAGGTTACCGCGCTACGCGATTGCGGTGGCGTGCAGTAGCGGCGGCGCCTCGCTCGCTCGCTCGTGAGGTTACCTTGCGTTTGCTGTCGAGTGGGCGAAGCTAGGGTAACAACAATGACTGAGGAGGGGGGTGGGGAGAGAAATGAGATCGACGGCATGAGACGGAGAGAGGTGACAGCGGAGGTGGGGGGCTGGGCTGACACACACGGAGACAGAGAGAAGCACCGAGACGGGAAGGAGAGGGCAAAACACAAAATTTGCAACACAACCAAAAAAAAAGATATTTTTTTTACAGATTCATGGAACGAGGGACGCAGAAATGGAACGATGGTGCATTGCTGTGAGCGGTGCTGTGCGTTTGAGTTCAGTGCAATGTCCTCTTCCACGGAGCACTCCTTTGCCGAGGCAAAGAGGTGTGAGAGTTGTGCAGGCCTGAGTAAGTGCGAGAACTGGATAGGGGTTAACCCACAATGGCCAGCTACTCGGCGAAAGGTGGGACAAAACGTGCTCCCTTCACCGATCTTGCACTGTCTGCATGTCACTTTGATTTGACTAGAAGATGATATGAGCAGTGTCATGCTGATTGATGATCCAGCACCGACTAATTCCCTCCAGTCAGCGGTGCTCAGTCACGTCCTGATCGCTCTCCTATTGCTGCTGCCAGGGTTACTGTTCCCGTGAACTTGAATCCACCACTCACAGTGTTCAACCACCACACTGCAGGTCACAACACACTCACTCAGTCACCAACTCACTCACTCACTCACCACACTGCAGATCACAACACGTCTCTTTCTGCTTCTTCCCAAATGCTGCTCCACTTTGAAATTCCCATCCATCATCTCTTTTTTACAATTCCTTATAACGTTCAAGAAATGCGTTGTCTGTGGCGCACCGCGGTGGCTAGGAGATGTTAACTACCTGATCTGGTATACAGGAGGTCGTGGGTTTGGTCCCGACCCTGACGCCTGCTGTATATTTGGAGTTTGCATGTCTCTCTCCCTCCGTGGTCGTGTGGATTTTCTCCCAGACCTCCAGTTTTTCCCTCCACATTTAGAATCAATGTGCGTTTACAGTATTTGGCTGCTGCAAATTTCCACGTGATAAGCCGCTTTTGTGGCCAAGGTTGCTTCTAATAAAAAGAGTTATATAGCTCAGTAGGCCTTACCTGGTAAAATAAAACAAGTTTTTAGTTTTATAGTCTTACAACTTTAACCGTGCCGCTTGTTGCTGGCCACTTGGCGTTTTGTTCCGTTTGGCCTGTGCTCAGCAACAAAGCACAACCACTCCCGCACGTCTTTAGAACTGGAGAAGCTTGCCGTTCAGTATGTGGAATAAAAACCTCCAGAATGTGCCCCACTCCCTTGGCTTCAGAATCGCCCCCTCTTATCTGACGATCTCACACTTCGGGGACGTTGCTCTTTTCTCCCACGATTCTCGGAGTTCCAGGAATGAGTCTCCCTCTGACCGTACGCACCACGAGGCAGTTAATGCTTGCAGATGAGACTATCCTGGTCTCTTGAGTTTTCACCGGATTAAACAGAATGAACGCGGCTAGACTCCCGAACCCCACTGGTAAGTCCACTCTCTCCTCCCAAGCGCTTAACAGGCTCTACGCTTTGCGTGGATCTATGCGTGGAACTGTGGAAATGACTTTGGTGCACCCTACAAATGTTGAGTAATTTTTATATTTTTTGGCGTTGGCTCTGTTTTCCAAACAGGTGAACATTAGCGGGCCATTACAATTACGGCCCGTGTAATTATAGGTCAAGCCTGAAGCAGCAGATACCACGAAGGCCTCAGGCCCAAGCCCATGACCTCCCCTCTCGCCTGGACTCCTCACCTGCATCCCTGCCCAGGACGTAGGAAAGTAAATAGCAAGGAAATGGCCCTGCTTACCCTATGACTAAAATAAATAAATATCATGAAGGTAAATGTGCTAAAACCTCAGTGAAATCACCTTGGTTATTTCCCTAAAAGCTCAGTGAAATAACCAAGGGGAGCGTGTAATGCGCTTGAACAAATATTAATACGATTTTGTTTTTAAGCTCTTCAAACAATCTCCCATTATGAAAATGAAACACCCGCCATGTTGAATGTTTGCATTGCCCCGACCAGCCACGTGACCCACGCCAAGCCAATCACAAGGCGCCGGTGCGTGCTGTGAGCTGAGTAGCAAACGCCGACGCGGCGTCCCCCCCACCTCCCCGTGACCCGGTGGAGACTGGGACTGTGCTCCCACATCTCGAGCTCAACTCACATGGCCGGGCCTTGAGAGCTCTGAAGCCGGATCTGCTCGTATTGCAAAACAGAGAGTTCATGTGACCGAACAACTCACGTCGAATATCAGACAACCAGAGCTCCACACATCCAGCGTCAACCACCGCTACACTTCCGGCCGTGGAGACCGAGGCTCACTCTGTGTCACACACCTGACGCATGCGCAAATACGGGCAGCCCGAGTCCACCCACCCCACGAGAGAGAAATATGAATGTATGTTGAACTTCTTTCGCACTCGCCGTAGGTAGCCAACCATGCTAATCGGAGGTGCTGAGAAAGGACAATGAACTCCACGCAAAAAGCAGTTCTAAAGAAATGAGTTTAAAATCTAAATGATTTAAAAGTGCAGAGCTCAAGTGGCTTCATAATATCGGAAGAGCGTTCCAGACGGCCACAGAAGCGCATCCGAAAGCGCGAAGTGTGGTGACCATCTTTGTTCGATGGTTAGCCAAAAGCCGCTGCTGCTACGATGATGTCCGGAGAGGTGGTGACCTTCGTGGCTGCAGAGGTCGTGGTCCTAGCACGGGATGTGAATTCCCTCGGCTACAGCAGTGACCACTCACAGGGCAGTGACCACTCACAGGGCAGTGACCACCCACTCACAGTGACCACTCAGTGTCCTGAACCCCGGCGTGTGTGCGGGTCAGCGCCGCGGACGCGAGGGTTGGTGGTTCACCACGAGATTCCGAATCCGTCAGCGAGGACGTTTGCCGTTTCTCGCGTGGTGGGATTCGCCCGCACAAGAAGCCCGGGGCCGGCCCTCACTCAGGCGGTCTCCCCCCGCCTCGTACTGCTCTGTGGCGCTGGTGCTACAAACCCGTTCACGGCCACCAACACCGGTGAGGATTATCTGAACCGGTCCTGGGCCTCCCCTACGTCGACTCAGGTCTCAAATGAGTACCTGGTGCGGTGTGTAAACGTCGCCACTGGGGAGACAAAGGCGGCCGAGCGTGGTGTTGGCCACACACCCCCTCGTGCGCCGTGGCTGGCCTTCATAGGTGCTCGCTAACAGCACTTTGCTCCACATGTCTGTTAAGGCTACACGGGGGATCTTTGTTTTTGCTCCGTGTTGTTGCATCGTTCGAAGCGTCTCCCCTTCACCGTCGAGGCTGCTCTCTATCCTCTACTCCCTCCTCGTACCTGCAGGAGTCGCCTCTCTACCATGAACCAACAACATCACCACCACCACCAACAACATCACCACCACCAACAACATCACCACCACCAACATCACCATCACCACCAACATCACCATCACCACCAACATCACCATCATCACCACCACCACCAACATCACCACCACCAACATCACCACCACCAACAACATAATCACCACCAACATCACCAACATAATCACCACCACCACTATCATTACCACCACCATCATCACCACCACCATCATCACCACCATCACCACCAACATCACCACCATCATCATCACCATCACCACCAACATCACCACCACCAACATCACCACCACCACTATCATTACCACCACCATCATCATCACCACCACTATCATTACCACCACCATCATCATCACCACCACTATCATTACCACCACCACCATCTGCACCACCATCATCATCACCACCAACATCACCACCATCACCACCAACATCACCACCATCACCACCACCACCAACATCTGCACCAACATCGTTAGCCCCTTTGCGTGACAATTACATAAAATGTGCAAGGAATCGAGACAATTCGACTCTAAAGCGAGATCGATTCCACGCAGCAACTCCCCGCCCCCCACCAAAGCGGGCGAGAATCGATTCTCAGTTTTAATACCAAAAAATCGCGGGGAATCGATTCGGGCCTAGTGCCGCTGGGGGGAGGTAAGGGGCTAAAAGCCGCGCCTCCTTCGGCTCCGTCCTCACCGGGGCGGGTGCGGCGCGGGCTCGGCTGGGCCGGCAGGTCCAGGCTCAGGTCGATCTGCGGCTTCGCCTCGCGCTTCTCCTGCCTCAGCCGCTCCTGCAGCCGCGACAGCTTCTGCTCCAGAGACGATGACGCCGCCGACATTTTTCTTCGCCTCGCTCGCTCTCTCTCCCTCCACCACCTCTTCCGGTAGAGTCTACCAGCCCCGGTAGAGTCTGCCAAATTTGGTAGAGTCTACTAGCCCCGGTAGAGTCTGCCGAATTTGGTAGAGTCTGCCAGCCCCGGTAGAGTCTACCAGCCCCGGTAGAGTCTACCAGCCCCGGTAGAGTCTACCAGCGCCGGTAGAGTCTACCAGCCCCGGTAGAGTCTGCCGAATTTGGTAGAGTCTACCAGCCCCGGTAGAGTCTGCCGAATTTGGTAGAGTCTACCAGCTCCGGCAGAGTCTACCAGCCCCGGTAGAGTCTGCCGAATTTGGTAGAGTCTGCCAGCCCCGGTAGAGTCTACCAGCCCCGGTAGAGTCTGCCAGCCCCGGTAGAGTCTGCCCAATTTGGCAGAGTCTACCAGCTCCGGTAGAGTCTACCAGCCCCGGTAGAGTCTGCCGAATTTGGCAGAGTCTGCCAGCACCAACAATTTCACTTTAAAGGTATCCGTATTAGTATTTATGCAGGTGTGTAAATGCGCCAGAATTTCAACTCAATTCCCAGCCATAGTTGTGCTCCTATGTTTTTAGCCGAGGCAACCCCCTGATGGCAGCTGTCCCTGTTTGCATGTCAGTAAAAACGTAATAAAACTCAACTGTATTTAGTTTTACCATGGAAAGCCCACTTGAACTATTTTTCAGAGGCGACCTGTCCACACATGATAGCTCATATGTGGGAATTTATTGGAGCAGCCTAATTCAACTAAACTTTGAAACTAAACACATTTTTACCAGGTAAGACCCACTGGGCTATGTAGGCATTGTTCAGAAGTGACCTGGCCACACATGATAGATCCACGAAGTGACTCATCGTGTGGACATTTATAGCAGCCAAATACTCCAAACGCACGTTTTAAAATGTGGAGGGAGGACCCGGAGCAAAATCCACGTGCCCGCGGGGAGAGACACGCAAACTCCAAATATACAGCAGCAGCAGCAGGCGTCAGGGTCGGGATCGAACCCACGAGCTCCTGCAAATCAGGCGAGGTAAATTTCGATTTAAAGCTTTCGTGACTGCAGGGATTCATCTTCTTGGTTCTTTCGGTAAAGTCACGTAGAAGGGAAATAATTAAATAATAAAAATAAAACATAATAAAATACAGTTCTCACGACGTTTCGGTCCACAACGCAAGCAGCCGTCCTCAGACAGCAGTCTGAAAGACAGCGTCTTTCTGACAGACCTGTTCTTCACACGAGGACGGCTGCTTGCGTTGTGGCCGAAACGTCGTGAGAATTGTATTTTATTGCTTTATTTTTATTATTTCCCTTCTACGTGACTTTACCGAAAGAACCAAGAAGATCAGGCGAGGTAGTTAACATCTCCTAGCCACCGTGGCACATCGAGATGCACCTTTCTTAATGTGGAGGGCCAATCCAGGGAGAGCTGCAAGCGGGGATCTTCGAGGATAAAACAACCCCCGTGGGCAACACTGCTTTTGTGCTGACGTGAATCCCCGTTTTCATGGGCGATGGCCGGGCACGCTCCAATTACAATACATGTGTAGTGACTCTCGGACGACTTGAACTGGAGAAGTTTGGCTCGTTGGGACACTCTACAGGAAAGCCTCCCACACAGATTCCTGTCTGAAACCTGATTCCCACCACCATCCGGCACAGAAGAATTCCCTCATCAAAACACTACACCATAGGACCCACTGCATTTCTGACCAACACCACCTAGCCAGTGAACTGGAACATGTACACCAGGCCCTCAAGATGAATGGGTACTCGGACCGCATTATTCGCAAAGCTGTTTCTCAAACCATGGAGAAACAACCCCCTGAGACGCCGATCAAAACCATCACGTTACCATACATAGCAGGAGTTACCAAAAAGATTTCCAAAATCTTAAACACAAGATCCAGGTCCGATTCAGTACAGTACACAAAATCCGTGATCTAATCCCATCTGTGAAGGATGTCATTCCTGACATGCAATATCCTGGAGTCTACAAACTAAGTTGCACCTGTGGTGGGTGTGTTACATTGGAGAAACGAAACGACATCTCGGACCGTGTCCGCGAGCACAAGTCAGATCTGAAACACGGCAGAACTAATACCTCCACCACGGCTGACCATTGCTATAATGCTGTGGGCTCTCATGATATTGTTTTTTTCCGAGACCAAGGTACTCTGCAAACCTTCGGGCTAATATCAAAGGTTTGTTCATGAAGTCATCCAGATATATAAACATAACTTCAACCGAGAAGATGGATACAAATTGAGCAATCATTGGAAGGATGTTATTAACCAGGTAAAACCTTAACTGCTTTATGGTGTTGCCTTCATTTCCGCATCTCCTGTTGCTTCAGCTCCCTACTCCCACAGCCCCGCAGCACTCCCCTCCCCTCTCTATATCTCCCTCCTTACCCCCCCCTCTCTTACCTATATAGCCTCTTGTTACAGCAGCCCTTTTGTCCACTTCAGCAATTTTCTTGCTGTGGTTGTCCCACCTGATGAAGGACGCTTGTGTTGCACCCGAAACGTCGTGATTTAATTTATTTTATACCCACGTGACTTTACCGAAAGAACCAAAGAGTATGGATCCCTGCAGTCACGAAAAATTCAAATCAAGATTGGAGAAGTTTATTTATTTATTATTTAGGGTGCTTCACACAGGTGACTTGAACTTGGCCAGGGATAACGCACAGATCACTAGGGCCAGGGATAACGCACAGGTAACCTTGGCCAGGAATGGCACGCAAGTAGCGACGACGCAAAGTTTGTGACACGAAGACAGCGACGGCGTGACGACAGTCGATCCCAATCCCACGGCCGCCTCGAACATTGCCTCTCGCCTCCTTTTATTCCCGCCGTCGCCCTCACTCCACTCCTGGCCACGCCCCCTTTCTAGAATCCTCTAGCCCATTCCCAAACTTTCCCAAATGGGTCCCCTTCCGTGATTACCCTCGCAACCACTGGGCCACGTGCTGTTCCTGCACCCACACTGTCTCCAAACATGCACTATCCCCACCCATGCATTGGCTCCACACACACACACACACTGTCTCTACCCCTGTACTGTCTCTATACATGTTAACTCCATCCCAGTGCTGGGCACCGAGGAAACTATGAACATCGTTATCATCACACTGAACTTTAGTCACCCAAGTGTGGGCTCCAGCTCCCCACCATCCTCCGGAAGAGGTGAAACATTAAATATCAAAGCCTGCAAACAAATAGGGTCATGCCAACAGAAAAAAACACGTCTGCAGCACAAGTTGAACAGATAACCCGATTTGGCCAAATCTGGCTCAGTCAATACTAATTCGTCCTAATTTAAGCCAAACTCAGCTCCTTGTCGGGATAAAAACATGTGACGAACTCGTTTCTACGAGCTTGAATTAATGAAGGTCACAGCCTATTAGACCCCTTCTACCTCACCTATCCCCTTTCTCCTCTTGAAGAACAACCGAACAACTTTACAGAAAAAAGTGAAAGGAAACGGAGTGTGTCAGCGATCGCCGATAATAATGGGGCCCATCAATATAAGTGGAGTGACACCGACACGCGTCCTTGCTTGACTAAGAGCCTTTATTGTGGACGCCAACAATATTACTAGGCCCGGGCTTCGGTTCTTGATGCCCGAACTTCGCCTTCTCTCCAAGCGTCCCCTGCCTCTGTACTGTCCCCTTTCATATCCCTCGAGCCCCCTTTCTCGAAGGTTCTCTCACCCCATTTCCTTCAGCCAATCCTCGTCCTCCTTCTCGAACGGTTGTCAACCGTTAACCCGACAGTCCACCCTCGTTTTCCGCCTTTTATGTTTGAATTTATAAACCAATCAGTTTAATTATCTGGCCCTAACCAATCCTCTTTGAGGCCTCTCTGTACCAATCACAGGCTTGAAACACTTCATGACTGCCCGTTTGTATGCGTACCATAACATGAAGCTCGTGAAGGACGCTACTGGTCAGTTGGAGGGAGTTGCCCTCCAGCAACAATGGAGGGCGGAGCAGCGACGCTCACAACAATGAGCGGAGTGCTGGTCGGATAAAACACAGCAAGTTGGCACAGTAGGGGGCACAGGTGGTGCATCTGCCAGTTATCTCCGTCAGTCGACCCATGCATGGCACCTGGGTTTGCCCCGTGACCTCCTGCCAGTGACTATTCGACACTTCACGTGGCCTTAACTTGCACCTAGCTTGGCACAAGCGCTGTGGTGACGTCACACACGTGAACCAGCAACGGAGCCCAACCAGGTGGAAAGGAATACAATGTGGGGATTTCTTCAAAAGATCTACTGGACATCTGTGAAAAAGAGATTTACAACTCATCGGATTCCTCCAGTATCGATGTTATGATGATGCTGAAAAGGGTGGCCCTTCCCAAATGCCTGTGCTGCAATGCCAGTGTGTCGGAGTCTGTAAGAACACGTAAACGTGTGCAGAGGGCTCCGACACCGATGTCTTATAGATGTCTCACAGGGGTACTCCAGCACTCGTGGACCATGATATCACCATTGCAGCTGCCAACACGGTCTAAGCCTTTCATTTTATAGAGCTCGAGGATGAACGCTTGTACCCAAGCAGCTGCTCTCTTCTCCGATACGGGCACCCCCTCTTGTTCTGCCTACCCAGCACAAAAAATTGTTCCGAGGTCCTCCATTTCGTGGAGCACTTCGGGTAGCAAGACGAGGTCCTTACCGGGTCTAACCTATGAAGGCTAGGCTCAGCATACGAGCGAAACAGTCCGTGCAGAACAATGGGATGCACGACATCCTGGTTGATCTGAAAGTCTGAGAAGGACTTTGGGCTCAAATCTCGATGATATCCCCAGCACCTCTCTCCCCTCGGAAATGAGCACGAAAGGCAGTGACATCACCAGAGCTTGCAATTCGTTTACCGTCCAACGATGACCCACATACTGGGTTCGACACCAGAAACTGGTTCCAATGTGCCCACCCCCTGTTCTTATCGCGCGTATTTTGAGACCTCATCACCACGGAAAGGCTCGCAAAGACTTTGTATGAGCCCACAGTACTTCCCTTAGCCTCTCCATGGCATGCCGAGATTGATGAGGCCCTGAACTTAACAGCCACTCATGAAAGACCTCCCCGGAATTCTTCCATTAGAAATCTCAAAACCCAAGCAACTCCACACAAAACCAGGTGTAGGCGTTTGCTTCAGCACCATGTGCAGACATTCTTCCAGTGAGTATGACACACTCTGGCCGTACAATCTCCTGGACTTTAGTCACAGTTCCTGGACCTCACCATAAATCCACCAGCTTCTGAATCTTGTCTTCTCAACTTCCAAGCTGTCAAGTACAAAGCCAACAGTCATTGATGCCACATTTATCTTAGACTGAGACGATCCGGTTCCTGCACCAGAGCCAGTACATCCAAGTACCAAGACCTCATCATCCAATTGGAAGATATTCTTTGGGTCTTTCGGTAAAGTCACGTAGATAGAAAAATAATAGATCACGACGTTTCGATCGCAACACAAGCGACCGTCTTCAGGTGAGAGAAAGCAACTGAAACAAGGTCTTATATAGGCCTGAGATGGGAGTCCCCTCAGGGTAAGAGGGAGGGGTTAGAGATGGTCTCCCTGAGGCTGTGGAAGTGGCCATTGTATTGTGAGAGATTAGCATTCCAATGATGCATCGGTGGCAGATGGAGTAGGACATCCAGCCTGTCAATACAAAGACATCCAACCTAGTAATGCAACTCAACAAATACAAACGCACAATAGGAGTGCAAAGTATACGACTTGGTAGTGAGCGCTACGTTTTCAGCACACGAGACCTGTCCTCCGTTGTTTTTTATCAGCTTCCCCCAAACACTAAATTCGGGCCCAAGACAGCATTCTCAACCCCAGGACTATTCCACAGCAATTGTTTGCCGATGGACTTCATGACGGCTCAAGCCACACGCTCCAGAGGCTGCTGGAATCAGTCCTTGCTCGGTCTCGAATGGGAGGTATCTCTCATATACTCAAACGATGTCATCGTACTGCTGGGTTATATTTTTACGCCTGAGAACGACCGCTTGTGCTGCGATCGAAACGTCGCGATTTATTTTCTACCTATGTGACTTTACCGAAAGAACCAAAGAGTATGGATTCCTGCAGTCACGAAAGCTTCAAATCAAGATCGATGTCATCATGTTCAGTTGCTAGTTTGAGGGGCACTTAAGTCGCTTACGCTCGGCATTGTCAAGGATTCGAGAGGCTAATTTAAAGCTCAAAACTTACAAAAAATGCCAAGCAGTGAAGAGGTTTCCGACAGACCCGGCAGAAACAGCATGCATACGAGACTGGTCCACACCTAAGACCATGCCAGAGATGTGTGCAGTTTTTGGGGAGCTCGTCTCCTATTGCCACCACTTTGTGCCGCAATTCTCGACCGTTGCAAAACCAATCTCCACGTGCTCACGAGAATAGGTCAAAGGTTCTCTTTGGGGTTCGTCAAAGGCGACATTGTTTTCAAGCTGTGGCCTCACCTCACCGACGCTCCCCCCTTCGCATATCCTGACTTTTCCTATTCCGTTCACCTTCATCACGGACGTGAGTGACGTTGGCTTCGGGGGCGGTATTGTCACAGGCCCAGGGGTAAGGCGGTCATCGCATTCAGGCCACACCGCCCTCGACGGGCTGGGCACAAATTCACTGTCCAGACAGACCACGCCAGCCTGCAGTACACAACGACGCATAACCAAATGGATAACGTGCTTGCTAGAGTTCTCACGCAAAACAATCATTCATCGAAATGGCCCGACGGCTCTCGTCTTGCTTCGCCCAGTCGTCGGCCCAGTGCCACCACCCGCAAGACACTGCTCACACATTGGAGAGACTGAAAGTGATTCGATGCAAGGCGCTTTGAGAGAGGACGGTAGAGGCCCTTGTGCACGGGCAGGAAAGTGTGCGGCTGCACCTTTGCCTTCTCCAACGTCTCTCTGCTTCCCCACAAAACGTGGGGGGGGGGGGGGGGGGGGGTTCACGGATTACCCGCCAAATAAAGCTGCCTCCCCAGCTAAGGCCTCTTCGCCTCCCGCGTGGACAGTTCTTGCAAAATAAAAAAACAAACTGAAATTCGAGAATTTAAATCAGGACTCGGCAGGATGTGTGAGAAGAGGCATCGTTTGCATATTTATTTCTTTAGACAAAAGGGACGCCCCCAGTGAGTATGAAAATTAAACCGGAAGCGTGAATGCGACATCGGAAAAAGAGTGCAAAGTTGACACCATGCAAAACCGATTCCACTAATTAAGCTCACAATTTCCATCACCCTGCTTGAATTCAGAAACCAAACATGGATACAACTGGAGCCTTTGGGTACATTTTAATGATGCCAATTTAAGTTCTCAAGTCCGTTTTTGTGACCATACTGTTCGTGGATCTCATACCAATTCCACTAATTAGCGAGGTAAGAACATATCGAGACCTGTTACAATGAAGACCTGGGTAAACCAATTATGTTAACATACCAGTGATATTCACGCATATAATGTGTGCTGATAAATTGGCATAACGTCCCTGCTCTCACAAGGTCACGGAGTCTTTACTCATGCCTAAGGGAGTGAGATTTTCACAATTCCGTGCACACATTTACTTGGCGACTGGTAAATCCACTTTTCAACTCGAGAAGCGTGCCCACTTCTTGAGGGCACCCATGCCAAAGCGGTCCTCAATCCAGCCCCTTGCACGACAGTGGCCAGCACGATGGAATTCACGAGCCCTGACGTCTTGAACTCCGGCGTTCACAATTGGCGGCGTCTCCAAACGGAGTTCGCAGAGGTGGTAGGTCGCCAGCTTTGTCTGGAGTAGAGTTATGCGTTTTTGACATTGGTCATGGATTTGCCTTGGAGATCAGGGGACACCGAGAAAATGCATGCTTTGTGATTACGACGATCGACACACAAATTAAACTAACACTGCACAGGCATCGCGACACACATTTGCCTTAAGTATATCGATCGAGCAAATATATAAACGTGATTTAGAAAACAGCTCTGACATAACTGCATAACCAGAAAGAGTCAGATAAAAAATTCCTACTGAAAATAAAATGTATAAAAGTGTTCATTAAAAAAAAGTAAAGATGAGAACGTGATAAACGGCGCACCGAGGCTAAACACTTGTGAGAACCACAAGGATGGCCGTTTTGCGTGTTCATGATGTGCTCTCGTGTGTGCCTTTGGCCATGACAACTGCAATGATTATGGAGACAATCAATTGGAAACAAGAATGACAACAAGGGTCAAGACACAATCAGAAATAAGGGGCATTGCAGAGGAGAGGGAGAGAGAGCGAACCCTGCAGATTCTCCGAGGGCTCACCACAGCAAAAATGCACATTCAGGTTCAATGTGTAACTATTCTTTCGGCTTTGAATGCAGGAGAATGATCCAAAGTGACGCGAGGATTGAACGTAAGCCAGCTGCTGCTACTGGCTCCTTTGCCCATATGCCCAAAATTTCGCAATCACTGGGAGTGTAAATCCTGCTGCTGCTGCTGCTGCGGTTGCCGCTGTGGGCAATGCAGTAAAACACAACCTGTGCGCGTTGGCACAAAGTCGTAACCCTGAGTGCATTATACTGCTCAAACTTCATGCCACGTTCAATGACAACCTGCACTCTCGAAGCATCATGCATTATTAGGACACTATAGTGATACTCATTAAGATTAGTGTTTGTGCGTGTGTTTTACACGCACCGAAATCACAACCTGCACATGCCTCACGGGCATCCTAGCTAAGTAGCGTCCTAAATGACAGCTTGTGCCGCGTGGGTGCTCATCACGAGAAGCCTGCCGATGGCACCTGCTCCGTGACCGCTCCCCCACCGTCGCTGTCGGGAGATCCTTGATCACACCCCACGGTAGAGCACGGTTATAAGACAAAATTAAAGCTCAAGATTTCGTCGGTTAGACGCGGCATAATATTTTCCGAGAGCTCAGATGGGCAGCCTGCGCATCTTTAAAAACATACATTTAAATAACTTCTTTCACAACACAAGACACCACCATTCTCACGCGAGACCTGGGGGGGGGGGGCGACACGTCAGTTGCCCGGTAATGCACCGAACGCGCACTCGCTCCGAATCGCGTGCCGCCCTCCAACCCGTACCCTATCGTCGTTCCCCCAGGTCTCCCTCGTGAAGGTGACGCGCTTTTGTAGCTCTCGCCTGGTGAAAGGGGGGGAAATGCTACCTCGAACGATCCGGTACTGCCAGGCAGACGCAGCGATCCAATGTGAAGCGTGCGTCCACGCGCGCGTATATGTGCAGTCGTCAATTATTATTTACGGAGGCGTCGACGCAAACCGTGATTTATTCTCAGGCACTGCTGGTTGAAATGTTAGCCAGCGTACACTTTAAATAACAGATTTGAACGTTATATTATAAACAGTTTTTTTTATGTTTATTGCATATTTTTCTGCATACGTGAGGGCAACTCATGGAACTGCTCGCGAATTGTTATTTTATGAATCAAGAAATTGCCTCATTTTCTTTTCATCCATTATGTGCAGCAAAATGTGCAGGAAATATAAAAGTAGCAGTGGAAGCCGAACGGTCGCTTCCGCGGCCTAATGACGGCGACCGTCCCAGACGCTTCCCACGAGCTTGCGCGACCCCCCGACGGGAGTGCGTTCACGACACGGGTTAGTTACGGCATCGCGGCCTCCGCCAAAGGAGCCACCCCTCCCTCCGGGGCCTCATCTCCAGGATGGGCCTCGCCACCGGGCAGCAGGGCCTCCGTGCGAGCGCGGGACCACTCCCTAGACGGCCTTCCCGCCTCCGCCGCCCGCCGGCGCCTTGTCTTGGCTCACGCCGTCGCCGCCGCCGCGGAACGCCTCGCTCGCGCGGCCGCCTCCGACGTCGTCGAACGCCTCCCCCTCCCCGCCGCGGCGCTCCGTCTCCTCCGCCGCCGACTCCCCGCCGGCACCCCGGCGCGCATCGCTCTGCCCGTCGCCGCCGCCGCTCTCTCCGCGGACAGCGGCGCCGCCGCCGCCGTTGCCCCCCCCGTGGTAGGGTTCCGAGCCGGCGCGGTAGGCGGTGCCGGGCGGCGCGTGCAGGTGCTGCGAGACGTCTGCGGGAAGCGACGCCAGCAGCTCGGGCTCCACGAGGAGGCCCGCCCGGCGCAGGGCCGGGCAGAGGCCCAGCTCGGCGGGAAGGCCCTCTGTTGGCACACGCGGGCACGGCCTGCAGCGTTACGCACGCACACGGCCACGCACACGGCCACGCACACAAACACAGCTATGCACACAACCACAACAGCCACCATTCACCACTGTGTCAGGCAAGGTGCACCTTGAGGCCATGGGAAGACAGGTCACAGGACAGACCCAGGTACCATGGGTTGAATGACTGAAATGACTGGCCGATGCACCACCTGTGCCCCCTACTAAGGCGACTGCCTCCAACTGACCAGTAGCGTCTTTCACGAGCCTTCTCCATAGACACCGCTGGTACTGGTCGTCGGTAAGTCCACCAAGCATCCTCCTATACTGCATCAATCCATCTCTACTCCAGCCTGTATCATGTCCCGTTAGCGCTCTCTATCCAGGCGAAACAGAAGCTGCTTGGGCATGCAGTGGCTGGGCATGCAGGCTACATGACCCAGCCAACGCAGCCTTGCCTGCCAGAGGAGCTCACTGATGGGACAGTGTCCAGATCTACCACACACAACTACGACCACGCACATGACCACAACCACACGCAAACCACAACCATGCACACGACCACACACACACACACACACGACGCACATGACCACGACTCCCCCGCATTCCAACTCATTGCTCGCGGCGTGACAAGCGGCGAGACGGAATGCCGTTTCCCTACGATGGTACAAGGAGCCTCTCACCCAGTGGGTTCCCCGTGAGCTCGAGCAGCGACAGGGAGGTGAGCGCCCCGATGCCGGGCGGGAGGCAGGTGAGGGCGTTGTGGCCCAGCATGAGCACGCGCAGCCTGCGGCACTCAAACAGCTCCAGCGGCAGCGCCTCGATCTGTAGCATGACAATCAGAATCACAGCCGTTATTTATCCTGGGGAAATCCGATGAGCTATGAAGCTATTTTTTGTTTTATAGATGTCCAGTAGCAGCCACATAGCCACACGTCACACACAACCACATCGAACCACACACAGCCACACAGCCAAACGCAACCACACACAACCAAAGCTGTATACAGCCACACAGAGCCACACAGAGTCACACACGACCACAGTCATATATAGCCACACACAACCACAGAGGCACACACAGCCACACAGCCAAACACAACCACACACAACCAAAGCCGTATACAGCCACACAGAGCCACACACAACCACAGTCATACATAGCCACGCACAACCACAGAGACACATAGAGTCACACAGAGCCACACACAACCACACATGACACGCCAGGCAGACACTAACCACAGAGCCATGCCCGATGTCTGCGTGCGACAACCACGACAATGACCGACAAGTTAATTCAAACCCCACCCCTGCCCCCCTTCAACGCAAACGTGATTCAAAATCCGAATGAAAAGCATTTCCCGTAACGGTGAAACCCAACGGCCGGACCCTCCGCGGCCCCCCCGGGGGCTACGTCGCCCGCGGCCGCATTCGTCCGCCGCTCGCGGTCACCTTGTTCCCCGTGAGCGCCAGGTGCTGCAGGCTGGTGAGGCCACGGATCTCCCGCGGGATCTCGGTGAGGAGGTTGCGGCTGAGCTCCAGGTGGCGCAGCCTCCGGCAGCAGGAGAGCTGCGCGGGGATCGACTGCAGCTTGTTCCTGTTGAGGTACAACCGCTCGAGCCCCGACAGCAGCCCGATCTGTAGCACGCACATGCACACACACCGCACACGCGCCGTGCACCGCACACGCACCGCACACGCACCATGCACAGCACAAGCACACAGGACACGCAGAGCACATACCGTCAACGCCGGAGAGTGTGTCACGCTGCTCATCCGAGACACACGCGCCTGCACACTTCACTCGCTTGCTCACTGGCGGTCAGCCACCTAATATCGCTACTACTGTGGTTGCTGCTCCCGTGAACTTCACTCCACTGATTCACTCCACTCACTCATTCACCCTCCAGCAGTCAGGCACCTCCTTATCACCCTTCTATTGCTAGTGCCGTGGTTAGCGCTGCCGTGAACTTCTCCCATTGAACCCAAGAATGGGCAAACAGAAGACGCCTACTGAAGCAGGTGTACACAGAGCGATACGCTGCCGAGGAACGGAGTTGCGTGAGAGGTCGGGATACGTTACCTGGATGGGCAGGTAGGCGATCTGGTTGTACCACAAACGGAGGCAGCTGAGCCGGTGTAAGTGCTGGAAGCTGATGATTTCTTCCACCGTTTTCAAGTTGTTTTCCTAAAAATGTGAATGAGATTGCTGCTGTTACCGTGGCGATCAACTTAACAATCGCGTGACATCGATAATAAAACTACCACAATCACTTGAACCAAGCAAGTCATCTCCTGCTCAAACAAGCAATGAGGCATTGGTGTTCATCTCCTGTTTACAGTCCTGATTCAGTGGTGGAATGACACATTCCTCTGGTGGCAGAATAACAGCATCGCTATACTACGCTACTAAACAATTTGTTATTTTCTACCAGCTAAGGCCCACTGAGCTATACAGCTCTTTTTCAAAAGCGACCTGCCCTCAATTGATAGTCCAATGAAGTGGCTTATCGTGTGGAAATGTAATAATAATAATAGTACAAATTGTAACGCGCGCAAAATTGCAGACGTAGTGGCCGCAACTCATAGATGGGATAATCACTGTTGACTTCCCCACAAAGTGGAACTCTGCTCGTTTTATCGACCCCGGAAGGATGATGGGCTATCAACTGGCAGAGCCGAATTAGAAACTCGAGAGCCTCACATTTGGAGATGCTCGCCCTGCAGAGAGAACAGCGACTGGCGAGAGACGCGGTGGTGGTGGACTTGGTGAGCGGTGTGGTGGTGGTGGTGGACTCGGTGATCAGTGTGGTGGTGGTGAACTCGGTGAGCGGTGTGGTGGTGGTGGTGAACTCGGTGATCAGTGTGGTGGTGGTGAACTCGGTGAGCGGTGTGGTGGTGGTGGTGGACTCGGTGATCAGTGTGGTGGTGGTGAACTCGGTGATCAGTGTGGTGGTGGTGGTGGTGGTGGACTCGGTGATCAGTGTGGTGGTGGTGGTGGTGGTGAACTCGGTGATCAGTGTGGTGGTGGTGAACTCGGTGAGCGGTGTGGTGGTGGTGGTGGAACTCGGTGAGCAGGTGTGGTGGTGGTGGTGGACTCGGTGAGCGTGTGGTGGTGGTGGTGATGAACTCGGTGAGCAGGTGTGGTGGTGGTGGATGAACTCGGTGAGCGGTGTGGTGGTGGTGAACTCGGTGTGGTGAACTCGGTGAGTGGTGTGGTGGTGGTCGACTCGGAGAGCAGTGTGGTGGTGGTGGTGAACTCGGTGATCAGTGTGGTGGTGGTGGTGAACTCGGTGAGCGGTGTGGTGGTGGTCGACTCGGAGAGCAGTGTGGTGGTGGTGGTGAACTCGGTGATCAGTGTGGTGGTGGTGGTGAACTCGGTGAGCGGTGTGGTGGTGGTGGTGGACTCGGTGAGCGGTGTGGAGGAGGTGGTGGACTCGGTGATCAGTGTGGTGGTGGTGGTGGTGGTGGACTCGGTGATCAGTGTGGTGGTGGTGGTAGACTCGGTGATCAGTGTGGTGGTGGTGGTGGTGGTGAACTCGGTGATCAGTGTGGTGGTGGTGAACTCGGTGAGCGGTGTGGTGGTGGTGGTGAACTCGGTGAGCGGTGTGGTGGTGGTGGTGGACTCGGTGAGCGGTGTGGTGGTGGTGGTGAACTCGGTGAGCGGTGTGGTGGTGGTGGTGGACTCGGTGAGCGGTGTGGTGGTGGTGGTGAACTCTGTGTGGTGGTGGACTCGGTGTGGTGGTGGGACAGGGCTGCACAGAGGAGAAGAGCACCGCCTGAGTGCTCATTTGAGCAGGAAATCAATTTGACTTTTTGTTTGACAGCCACCACACAAAGCCACCGGGCCAGGCCCCTGCACTGCCACCCACCGCCCCCAGCAAACACCTTGAGGTCGAGCTCCTGGAGGTTGGTGAGCGAGAAGATGGCGTGAGGGATTCGCTCCAGGTCACAGCGACTCAGCTCCAGCTCGCAGAGGTTGCCCATCTTCTTGAGCGAGCTCAGCACCACGAGCTTGGAGCCCTCGTTGTTGATGGAGAGCTTCTGGAGCTGCTGAGCCCACGTCCACGATCACCTGCGTGGGGGCATCGGCCGGTTACGTGGTGGAGCCGTGGTGGAGCTGTGGTGGAGCCGTGGGAACCGCGCACGTGGCAACAGGGCGACGCACGCACGGAGAGGGAGAGAGATGCGTGGCATGCTGTGCGTGGCATGCTGTGCGTGGCATGCTGTGCGTGCTGTGCGTGGCATGCTGTGCGTGGCATGCTGTGCGTGGCATGCTGTGCGTGGCGCTGCGCTGCCTTGGCGAGTGACACACGGCTGCGTGTCGCTCTGTGATTGACGTGTGTATCAGTCGGGACTTCTGTGAAAAAGAGTTTCAAAGCTCATCGGATTCCTCCAGGATTCATAAATATTATGATTCTGTTCGCGCGCTGCGATACGAACCCCGGTGACCAGAGTTGAGTTTCCGCTCACGGCCAACACCAGTGACGAGTATCTGAAACGGTCCTGAGGTTGACTCAGCCTTGAATGAGTACCTGGTGCGGTGTGTAAACATCATCACTGAGCAGTAAAAAGCGGCCGGGTGGTTGCTGGCCACCCACCGCCTCCGTGTGCCATGCCGGCCTTCATAGGTGCTCGCTAACAGCACTTTGTCTTTGATTTGTGTAAATGTATCAATATATAAGCAAGCAAATCACCTCTTATCCATATGTCTCTCCACGTAGAAAATACTTGACACATCACATGAGCTGCACGGCCTTGTAGGGTGAATGCATAATTTCAGCTGTATTGGATTAAAATAAGAAAACTCAGGACCGGCTTCAACATTCAGCGTCTCGTCTGCAGTCGGGCTTGCTTACAGATAGGTGCGTGTGGGTAGGTACACGCGTGCCACACTGTGATGAGCGGTAACCGCATGTGCATGCGTGCGTGCGTGCATCGGCGCTTGCCCCAACAGTCTTGGCAGTGGTGGTCCAGTGCTTAGTAAACTGCGCTACAAACCCCTTGTCCTGAGGTTGAGTTCTGCTCACAGCTAATGAATGTGAACCTCATAATGATAATTCTTTATATTAATAATTTACTTATTTATCCAGGAAAGCCACATTGAGGGGGGTCCTGCGTTAAGTTTTTATTTAATGACATTTTCAGCCGATTAATGATGAGTGTATTTTTACACAAGTAGGAGGAAACCGGAGCTCTCAGAGAAAACCTACGTGAGAGAGGGGGCAACGCTCTATCCCTGTACAACGGACGGCGATTAGTCCCACTCACCGTACTGCCGTCTCCTGGCGAGCGAGCGCACGGCACCTCGACCCACTGGCAGGGAGTTTCACATCACGCGCAGTGATCCATCAACCCTCGCCACCTCCACAGTGCTGGATTGTAGGCCATGTACGGCACCGCCGCCTGACTAACCCGCCCTGGGCTTAACCTCGGTTGAGACAAATACGGCTGGGTGTGGAGCTGGCCAAGCCACCCTCCTCTCTTGTGTGGCGTGCCGGCCCGAACGTAGGCACTCGCTAAACACCACTTCGCGCGAAGGTCTGTTAAAGACCACTTGGGGAATTCTGCAGCCTTGCGCGGTGGTGCGTGTATGTACTGTATGCTGAACTTCTTTCGCACCGTACGTAGCCAACCGTAGCTAATCGGTGGTGTGGGGGAGGCCAACAAGCTAAATACAAAAAGCAGTTCTAAACAAATGTGTTTTCAATCTCGATGATTGAAAAAATGCAAAGCTCCAGTGGCTTCCTAATATGAGAAGAGCATTCCAGACGGCCGCAGAAGCGCACGTGAAAGCGCGCGATGCAGTTCGATGGTAAGCGAAAAGCCTCTTAATACGCGAGGATGACGAGAGTTCGCACGAAGATGGTTTATGCTCCTCGATGTGGTGCGTGCGTGGCGCGTGCATGTGCTAATGTTGAACTTTTTTTGTACCGTACAGAGCCAACCGCGCTCATCAGAGGTGCATGGCGCACTGGAGCTCACCTGCGGCACCTTGCTGAGGTTGCTCTTGATGCGCAGTGTGCGCAGACGCCGCAGCTCACGCAGCCCGTCCAGCGAGATGAACTTGTTGTGCTCGTCGCTGAGGTTTCCCGTGAGGTGCAGCTCCTCCAGGCTGCGCAGGCTGTACATCCAGCCCGGGATCTCCTTCACGTCCGTGAACTGTGCACACGCGTTCGCCGCCACGTTTCATTGGAACTTTAGGAGGTGGTGGTGGGGGGTGCAGGCTGCGGCATGGCACCCGTGCAGGAGAACATGAGAATGCTCGCGGGTGAACGTCGGCGCCACGTTGCGGTGACGAAACTAAACCGACGTGTAACGTGATAACGAATACCTCGCTCACACAAAACGCACGAATAACACAACTTGAAGCGGACGCCTTACGAACACAAACCAGACTTTTTCGATTTAAAGCTTTCGTGACTGCAGAAATTCATATTCTTGTTTCTTTCGGTAAAGTCACGTAGAAGGGAAATAATAAAAGAATGAAAAATATTTTTTTTATTTTGTTATTTTTCCTTCTACGTGACTTTACCGAAAGAACCAAGAACACAAACCAGACTATTCTATTCTTGCGTATGGTAATGTTTCTATTCTCGCTAATATCGAGTCTGCTGGCCACGGAAAGAGGGCTTCAGTAGAGAGTTGATGTCATTTCTATCTTCCTCATCCTTTGCTGAAGGAGCGCAGATGAGACTGGGTTTACCATGCCGTCCGTGGTTTGTGTTGCATGGCCCACGATCGCACGACTGCGGCTTGTCTTTAACGTCTATCTGTGGGTCTCCGTGTGGTGTTTCTGCGTTGTTTCCGTGCATCTCCATGGGCCCTGCTGTGGTGGTCACGTGCACGGGCGGAAGCTGCCGCTTACTACAGTTTTTTCACTTGCAGATTTCTGGCGCTGGAGTTCACCGCCTCACACCAGTTGACCCCGACGGTGGCTCCCAGTGACAAGCGGGCCTAGCGTGCGTACCAAAGCCTCGTATTAAGCTGTTTTCATCCAATTATCGAGTGTTTGTCCGTGTGGGAGTAAACCCAAGTACCTGGAGAAAACCCTTTTCCGTGCGACAGGGGCAACGCTACAATCGGATGAGCAGCGCAATCCGCTGCACTGGGAGGGAGGGAAGGTGGCGGCTCTGCCGGGGTGGGGGGGGGCCCACCTTGAGGTGCAGCGAGCGCAGGTTCTCGCGCAGGAACGCCAGCGCGGCCATGTCGATGCGGGCGGGCGTGTGGTAGAGCCAGAGCTCGCGCAGGTGAGTGAGGTGAGCCACGCTGGACGGGATCATCACGTCCGGGATGAGCTCCAGCTTCAGCACCTGCAGCTCCGACAGCTCGAAGACGGCGTCCGGCAGGCCTGGACGCACGCACGCAGGTACGGTAACGACGCCGGTCTACATCGGGGATGCGCTCCTGTAGCGGTGCGACGGCAGATATCGAAACGACGTCAATCAAAGCGATGTGCGGGGTAAGGTGGTGGAGGTGACGGCTGAGGGGCGACGGACACTAGATGGGACGGACGATGTTGTCAGCGACATTAGTGGGGGGGGGGGGGGGGGGGTTAAGACGACACAAATCGGGTCGCAGCGTTATTCATAAAGTGATGACGTATTTGCGAAATGATGCAAAAGGGGAGGATGTACATCGGAGTTTGACTGTATAAAGATCTTTAACAGACTGTT